AAAATATATCGTTTCGCTGACTCAGTATCTCGTTCGCGATAATGAAAATAGCAAACCGGCGGGTAGAAGTTGTGTTTAGCTTAAAAAGAAGGGACAAAAGGGTGGTATCAAGAACGATGGAACGGTGACTCTCGAATAGAGAATATGACCCACTCGAGGGTGAAAAAAAGAAAGGACCCCATCGCGTTTTCATTCGTGGGGGCCAAAGGTCAATGCTTGCACGCACTCGACATCGCGAATCGTAAGAACGAGGTATAATGGCGTTCGAAAAGAAGGAAGGAATCAAAAAAGGAGACTTCGACCGGGGGTGGGGGGGCTGAAAGAGGGCAAGAACCCACGGCCCACTCGAAAACCCCGGTCATATTATGCCAAAGCCCGGTAGAATCTTGACTCGCGACGATATTTTTCAAGTGGCGAGAAACCAAGCTCTCCTCCGACTTCTCCCCTTCCTTCACCGAGCACCGATAATGCTGAAAGAAACATTTATGCGCGAACCCTCGAATGTTTTTCCAAAGCTTTATGCAGCTAAAGGGGCGTTCGTGGATGGTGCCGCCTCTTTCGAACGTTAAACGCTCGTCCCCCATAATTTTCGTCCTGCGTTAATTGCACGGACGATCGTTTGCCGATTTAACGCTAGTTCACCCTTTGTTTCGCATTATTTTTTTGTTAAACGCGTTTTAAAATAGTAATCGATCGAAAATCGAGTTCCGTTTTGAATGTCACGTTGATTTGATCCTTTGGGAGGGAAGAAGCGATTATAGTAAAATGCAGGAAAACGTTATAAACGCTTTCATCGTCGGGGCAAATGTTTATTAAACATCACCCAGGAAATCTATAAATATTAGATTGGCAAACATTTCTTTTCTTTAACTTCTTTGCTGTACATCATGTAAACTGAAGATTTAATGTGCCCGCTCTGAAGGAGATACTCAATCTACAGGGCGTGCAAAGGGTGCATTTTCTTCTTTTAATCATACGAAACATAAAAACATGTAAAAGTGTCCTATCCATTTTATCCCGGACTGAACGTCCTCTACGCGTACTCGCGAATGATACGTGGTACCGGTGGCATCAGTCGCGGTTATTCATCCTGAAAGAGAAAAAGAGAAACGAAATTCTTAAAAGGGTCCCGGACGCGCAGAGACCATTAAAAGGTTTTTACATTCACGAACTCCTTTTCTCTTCCCCGGTCGAGGGTCAAGGGATGCGTTTTCCCCGAAAGAGGAGAACCGCCAGTGTCCACAGAGAGTGGCATCTCGCTGCTTCTCCCCCCATCCCCCTTTTTACCTTTCTTTTCGCCTTCGCAACCCTTATTCACCGCACTGCAACCCCTCTATCCAAGAACCGTCTTCGGTGGTTTACGCACATCCACCGGTACCGCTGAAATTTCTATCCCTGCGTGTCGGTGATTGTCGGTGGAACCGACTGCCGAGGACTCGTGCATTCATCCGATGCACTTGATGCGGCCATTGCATCGGCCGACTTTTTTCGTGCAGTCGTTGCTACATGTCGGCTCTGAAAGGCTCTTCTCCTTGATGCGAGGCGGATATCCCGTAAATAACACGCACGAGGGTCCTCGTACAGGGAGAAACGTATCGTCGGGCGAGGGACCAACGATCCCTCGGCGTTGCAAAGAAATTAGTGAGGAAGAAATAATAATAAAAAAAAAGAAACATCCCTTTCTGTCGTGTAAGCGCTCGCGATACCTTAATATGGATACGCAACTGAGGATGTTATTAAGATCGTGTGCATTGTACTTAAGAAGAGGTTGAAGCATTCTTAATTATAGGGCGAGCGAAAACGATGTTTTAATAATAGTTAGGTTCTTTCTAAATTCTTTCAAGATGTAACATAATTTTATGTGTGTAAAACAAATAGAAAATGAGAAAATGTGTTGGACAGGCTTTCTTCTATTGTCAGGAAAATGAAAGAATATCGGGACGTAATGATGTTTCTTTCATCGAGGTACAGGCTCGAAAAGTCTTTAATCATTTGTTTCGAAAAGTTTTGTACGAATAAACTTGGGGTGGAAAAGTCTCGGTGAATTTTAAGGATTGTTCTCGACTGTGCCACCTCAGGCTCCGTTTCGTTACTATTTCACGAATCTATACCGTATCGTCGGGTTGAAAAGCCGCCGGCTGAGAATGCCGTCTTGCAACGTATCGGCACAAAAGTTGAATGCAATTTACCAACGTTCATTCGAGCGATTCTTCGAATTATGTTCAACACGATTCGAGCTCGTGGCTACGTTCTTGATTTTCAAAGGTCTTTCGCGGAGAGAGAGAGAAAAATATAATCCTTCGCGATATTGTTCCAAGGCACAACCGACTTCCTCGAGAAAAGCTTCTCGCCGCGGAAGAAATTCGCCCGGCCGATTGTCGTTTCGAGCGTCGCGGTGCTCGAGAAATAATTGTCGTGACGGTAACAACGGCGCAGGAAGTTCAGCGAAGGAAAGTAGCGCGGGAATAAGGCGACCGGTATTGTTCGAAATGGGAAAGGCTTGTTTTTCGAGGCTTGGTACTAAAAGTGGGCCAAGAACAGGGCCGAATGCCATCGGCGACGACTTTTCGCGCGTTTCCGACCCCCCTACTCCTTCGAACGAAAACAATCGCACCGATGGCAAAGGGACTTATCGCTTGATAAATGTTGAACCCTTTATACCCTCGACAGAGAAAGGGTAACTAAGTGGTTTTCTTAATTATTTAGTTCAGAACTTCCCTTTAGAACTTCGAAAGTTTAAGCATTAAACTCACTTTTTACGAGTTGTATGCACATCAAAGTCGTCTTTAGATTGTTCTAAACATCCCTTGCGCGAATATTGCCAATTCCTTCCCCTGGAAGCAGTTACACAACCTTGCTCCGTTTCATCTTAACGGGAAAGGTTGAATTCATCCATTAGCAAGGAAAAAGGGGTGACGGAAAGGGTGAGCACGTGGCGTCGTCTGTTCCCTATTTTTCAATCAATCTCACCCGCATCCAAGAGGTTTCCGGTTTTCCCAGCAAACGACGCGGAGGAACGCCTTTGTGCTCGAACGGATTCCGTGGCGCGGTTTTGCGATCACTCCAGCGACGTTTAATTAACTAATCATCGCAAGGAGAACGGAATCCCCCCTCCCCCGCCACGGTTTCTGATAACCTTCTGAATCCACCGTCACCGTAAGCGCAATCGTTTACAATCTAGCCATAAGTCGCGGCATATGTTGTTATTCGTGAATTCATCGTAACGTTTCGTGGCCCGTTCTTGAACCAAATGTCCGGGAATACCATCAGAATGGTATTCAGAATGAAGTGACAAGGTTTCACAAAGAACGACGCTTTAATAATGCAACCGAGTCGAGAGGAAACGAATTCGTTTCTCGTAACCACCCCCTCGAGGCTGCTTTCCTCGGTTGGCGCTACTCGGGATGCCACTTTTCCATTTACGACAGCTACCTCGAGCACTCGACGTCCAGGCATTGCAAAACAGTTAAGTGCATTATATCATTCGAAGGAGAGCACTGCTGTGCCCCAAGTGGACATTGTTTCAACCCGTTCGACGCAAACAATGGCCGGAATCGAGTGCCGACTAGTACCTGGCTGTACATACGTTTGAAACACTTTTTTTTTCTTGCCTACCAGTCAGCCTCGACAATGATCTCGTTAAAGAGCCCTGACCGGACCACTTTGACTACGATAATGCTTTTCTTTTCTGCCTCTTTCATTTTTTTTTTTTTTTTCACTCACCCCTCTCGATTGTTTCTCAACCGAGTCGAGCCACGGTTTGTCAGTTTCCTCTTTTGACTTCCCTGGGTCGTAAGTGTACTTATAGCAACGGACGTCAATCGAGGGGTTTCAATGTGAAGAGCAACTATGACTTTTGAATCAACTTTCGACGCGTATCCTGCGACGATTCGTTCGTTTATTTGATGTTTGCGAGTTTGAATCGTTACACGGTGAAAAGTTTTCGAAGAAATAAATCCAGAAAGGAATAGAAGCGTTCGAACAACCCTTATTCCTCTGCTTATTCGCGATACGTCTTCGGTTTCTCCCTCTTCGCGGAAGACCGTTTGAGAACGTGGAACCGTGACCGAAGGGTGGTCAAGAAGTCGGACCGGAAGCGGAGGGGTGAAAAGGGAATTCTCGCCCCGGAGGTTATCGGTACGCGAGAACGCATAAGAGTACGCGTATAATGTACACACGAGCTGAGCGAGTAAGGGCGGAAAGAAGAGAGAGAAAAGTGCGCACCCTACCGAGGAGACAGGCCAACAGAGCCAGCGGGGTTTCTTAGGGTGAAAAGAGTAAAAAGGTCCCCGCGCCGATACAATTGGCCTCTAAACAGAGGGTAGTTATAGCGAAACGCAATGCCCATTGGGGTGACGTGGTAAACGAAGAGAAGAGATCGTCTCTCTTGCTCGCTATTGCGCCCCATAATAGCAAAGGGTGGTCACCTTCTACGAAATCAGGGCGAGACTTTACAATGCACCGACCGAACGTGCATAGAAAAAAGAAATAATAATAAAAAAAAAAAGAGTGTATACACGCGAGAAGGGTGCACGAGGAGAGGTGCCGTTTGACGAGAACCTGAAGTCTCCTCTGCTGCTTCTTTCTCTCCTTTATTTTCCATTCTCTTTCCCTGCTGCACGGCTTTCAATGGTCGTCAGCTTCTCCAGTGTCGCGAAAGGAAATTCGAGGTTACGAATTTCGTCTCGGGACCTGCAGCTGGCGCGTTCTCCGTGCGAATCGCACCTCGCCCTTCCACCGATTTCGATCTTGATTCCCGATCGCTTTAGATTCATTCGATACCTGACACTCGATCGATCTCGCCTAGACCAAGAGGCTCGATGCGAATTCGAGCGAACGGTATCCATCTTAGCTGACATCGCGCAGCGGTTAGGGGTTGAAATGAGTTTCAAGGAACAATCACTCGATAGCTATAGTCGTTTCTTGTTCATTTTCGAGTGCTTTCGTTCGTTTCCTTTCTTCTTGTATCTTGGTGGAAATGATAGATAGAGGCGAATTAATGAAATTCATAGAGTCATTTATTACTTTGATTCGTCGATAATAATAAATATATGCACATATACGGTAAGAGACAATTGTTCCTTTCTGTTTCGTCGTTCTGTTCGGTCGCTTGGTGATTATCAGGATCATTCGATAATTGTAGAAACCAATAGATGTGATTCGGAAGAAAGGAGGGCTAATTTTTAAACGCTGATCCCTGTTCTGCTTGTATAAGAAAACTAAATAATTATAACGAAAGATTATTATTACATTTACTCGTGTCTGTCCCTTTATTTATCGAATGATCCCTCTATCCGGTGCTCGACAACAACGAGCATCATTTTTACAATAAAATTCGCTGACGTGAATTCAATGAACATCGTTCGCGTTACACGATCGCTACCAACAAATAATAACAATTTATTTATGAAAAACAAAACGCAACGTACAAAGCGACGCGTCGACAAAATTTTTTCACTCATTTCTACGGACTAGCGTGTTTCATGAATCCTCGGACGACAACATCGACGAGTGTGCACAAATATTGTATATACATATAAATACATGTCGTGTGTGTGGGTGTGCAAAAACAAGACGAAGAAAGTATACAAGAGAAAAATCGAACAGCGAGAAACAGCGATGAAAAAGAAGAAACAAATCATTCGCTGGACACGATCGTTCTTCATAAATAATAATCCTATACACGGTGCAACAATTTCGCGTACGCGCTTCTTGTGTGCTCTAAACGTTAATGTTACAACAAGAGGTACGTGGCGACTTTAAAATCTACGAAAAAAACGACACGTACACGTGGATTGGTTGCTTTGAAACCGCGAACGCTCTCGCGTGAACGCGCGCGCTTGTTACGACGTAACGAAATCACAGTTAACGATTTGGTCCATTTACATTCGGACCACGGCGACGAAAATGCTTTTCGGAGAAGAGCTTAGTAAAATAGCGTTGCGAAATTATGAGCGAGAAACGCTTTGTGAAATTTCATCTTCGCTCGAAGAAAAATTTGGAAATGATTCTACTAATGATAACGACTCGAAAACAAAATTGCAAGCGCATCAAGCGAAATTCCTCAAAGCGTTTCCTGTTCGTCGCTTGAAATTCTACCTTCTGGGACAGACTTGAACGACCTCGCGAAAACACGAACTCGCGAAATCATGGTTAAATCGTGAATCTCGAGTAACGCGGGCCACTCGGACGATCCGCGGATTAAACGCAGAGAGTATCACATACGAGTTTGCTCGCCGGCGAGTGCTTACCATTCTTCGAAGGTGTTGGACGAAACACGATCGTTCGCTAAAAAGAAAAATGTCCAGAGGTGTCCCCGAAATTCGATCATCGATGTACTATCGTTCCTCGGAACGAGCGTTGTTCGCGTGTTTGTGGGCGATGCAAGACTTAACCCAGACCGAACGAGCCGTCCCACGACAACTATTCCGTTCCTTAACCTACGCCGATTGTATATTACGATCTATTTACATCCGTATAAACGATATATTAAAACGAACGGTTAACGATGCCCAAGAGCCAACAATTTCGCCCTGACTACGGCACGAACATCGTCCACGTAGGTGACACAAGCCAGCTCGAAATCAAAGGAGCGGAACAATGGATCGTAAGGCGGTTCGAATGTTTCCTAAACCTCGACGAGTTTTTCCGAGGCTGGCTCTATTGATCTCAATGACCAGGCGACAGGTAAAAGGCACATCCGCAATTAGAAAACATTATTTGAAAACAATACCCTCCACCTCCCGAAGGGAGAGGACCGGGTTCCTGTTCCACGGGGCAGCGCGTCGCACAATGCAGCCCATTCAATAAAGCAAAACGAATCCGGTCCTAAACGGCTCTTTTGTTCCAACGCATTAATATGCTAATTCAATTATCCGCGTGGTTGCCGGCGAACCTTCCCCGAACGCCGCTTCGGTCGATTCGCAATCGGCCTGGGTCAACCTTGAAAATCTATCATACTTCCAACCGCCCCCTCGGAATTTGCCTAAAGAAACAACCAAGCGAAAAAGAATTCTCACGGTGAATGCCTCCTCTCTGTATCCGAATCCCTGTTGGCTCTCGAGCATCGCGATTATAAATACAATATCGTCGAGTTTCCCGCGCTTTAGAACGTACTTACACACGCTTGCGTGTGATTTTGAAAAAGTAAGCCTGCGCCCGCTGTTGCGTCCCACGGACGTGGTTCTCGATGCGCGTTTATCTATCAAACCCTGAACGAGACGCGTCTCGTTCCTTTTAGACGGATCTACGGGTCTAGAATATCACGGAGACCGGTCTGCGCAATTGTTCCAAGTCCAGCGTGGTCGACGTGGTCGGTGTGGACACCTGCTGATGGGACGACGGAATCGGAGTGGAGCCTGGGCTACTGCCCGGGCTGCTGGTGGTGGTTACGATACTCCCAGAGCCGGTCGTCGACGAGGATGAGAACATGAGGGGTGGATGCGGCCCTGTCGCAGCCATCGTGTGATGTCCGGTAGGAAACAGTGGTCCCAGGTGAGACGCCGTCGTCGGATACGGCTTACCTGCTGTCGTCGGCGACGAGTAGAATCCGGAGTAGAAGCTACTGACCACAGCAGCCGCGGATGCCGCGTTGTTGTTCGCCGCGTCGGCAGCCGCTGCTGCAGCGGCCGCTGCCGAGGAGGTCGATCCAGTACCGCTGCTGCCGGCCACCAGCTTGCTCAGGTGGACGGCGTCGAAGGCGGAGCCGAAATACGGCGGTAGTGGCGGATAATCGAGCGGATGTGGATGGTGATGGTGATGAGAGACCGGGGCGGCAGGTGCGGCGAAGTACGGCGGCAAAGGGAAGCTGGGGAAACCACCTGGACTCATGGAACCTCCCTTGCCTGGCACCACGGACACCGGCACCTTCGGTTTCCTTCGTGGACGGTACTTGTAGTCAGGATGTTCCTTCATGTGCATGGCGCGCAGACGCTTCGCCTCGTCGATGAACGGTCTCTTCTCACTGTCGGACAGCAACTTCCACTCGGCACCCAGTCGTTTCGATATCTCTGAATTGTGCATCTTTGGATTATCCAAGGCGATCTTCTTCCTTTGGATCCGCGACCACACCATGAACGCGTTCATCGGCCTTTTGATATGCTGCTCCTGCGACGACACTGATTGTTGATTTACATTCATGTCCTGGCTCACGTGGTGCACCGAGTGCAGGTCCATGCCCGAGAGAAACCCGTAGCCGGGATGTTGTTGATGTGAGCTCATCATGGTCACAGCTGTGTGTATCGACGAATCGATTTTTATATAGTTTCACCCCGTCAAGCTTCTTCTATCTCAAACTTTTCACACACACGCGAGCGGACCTTCGTCGCGCTCGATGATCGTCTTTATCCTCGCGGGCATCCACTGATCAATCTTTTCTCGTCCTTCCTCGTTCGAAGGATCGCCGGAACGGAAGTAACACCGGATTCGAAGAGAAAAAAAAGAAATAAACTTATTAACAATGAGCAACGAGATCGACTGGACGTTAGAGAGCGCGGCAAACAGTCGAACGTGCTCGAATGGAGTGCCGGTGTCGACTGAGCGTGGACTGTCTGTAGGACCGGTCCACGACCTGCTGGAGGGATCCATTCTTTCTCTCTCTTTCTCTCTTCCTTTTTCCCCGATGGTTATCCCTGTCTGGTTGGATTTCGAGGGCGGAACCGACGCAGCGCGTCGTACGCCGCGCCCACGAACCGACCCTCTTCACGCTATTCGTCCAAGTTGCTTCGGTGCACGCGTATACCTTTTCTACCCTTTCTCCCCACTAAGTAACACCAGCACACCGAACCAGCAACAGCAACCCCTCTGTACCACATCGAACTAAGGAGGGCTGCTACTGCTGCTGCTGCTGATGCTGCTGCTGCTGCTGCCTCGGAGACCGCGAGCTGCAATTATTATTATCGATTACCTCGATACGATGAAGTACAAATAGCGTATAGGCTACCCATTATTGACTACTTCTGTTCCTCTACCGCTTTGCACGCCACCATCGGTGCGATTTCGCGCGATAATTGGTTACGCTCGCTCCCATCCCCTCAACCCTTCTGGTCCGTCGCGCCGTCTAGAGAACGCGAGGAGGATTCTTGGTCAACGAGCTCGAGGATCTTTCATTGAATTAAGTCCTTCTCTTGGATCTCCTTGCACCTGCGCTCTGCTGACCTCGATAGACCACGATTTCAATTGTTCCACAAGGGTGCGTGGAATGTTTGCTTGGGATAGAGTCAGACTTCCAAGCAAAACAACTTGTTATTTTTACTTCTCTTTTTTACATGCACATTTCGAGTGTAATATTTTTTCGAAGAAAGGGTAACAATTTGTTATTGTTGCAACGAGCAGTTTCAGCGAAGTTCCTTTCTTTTTATTTGCAGCACTGAAATACACAGTTTTTCGAGTGCTTCCCATTTTTAGGCGCATTTATGCAACGAACTCGAAGCAATTCGATGAAAATACTATTTTGTTGTTGAATTTTTAATTCGACGGAATCAATTCGGTTGGAAACGAAATGATCTGACACGATTACGGGATGAATCATTAACACCGTTTCTCTGAAGGGGATGAGTGACTAATCCGAGGTCGTTTCGTCGAGTAATTAATCAGAATTCGCATTCGTTCGCGTCCTTCTTTTCTTCGTAGAAACAATGATGGGCTGAAATCTGCCGGTTCCTTTCCTGTGGGAAATCTCAGGAACAATGCAAAAAATCTCTCGACGACAGGCACTTGGATTAGAATGGAAAGCAACAGCGGAGAAAGGAGCGAGCGGTGCCCCTTTCCCAATCTCGACTCACCGCGCCCTCGGCTCCCAAAGGACATTCAGCAATGCGAACGAATAAAAGCTCTCTCTATATCTTTCTCTCTACCTCTCTCCGTTGCTTGAACTGCATTAGTCGTTTATCCTTTTGTGTCGGGAAGGCGCGTACGCCTCGCTGCGGTGTCTCCTTACTTCGATTTCCAAATAATCGATTAAGCTTCCTGCGTTTTCGAACGGAATGCCATGCCTCGTCGTTTGACTGGCAACAGACGTTCCGTACACTGCACGCGCTAATATTTCTGTAATTTCACAGAATTGTTTATCGAATTAACAAAACCACCCCTTTCACTTTATACGGGTGAAGTGTTCATAACGCCGAAAAGGATTAAGGATAATTCCTTGATATAATTTTAAATTGAATTTTTAAATAGATATCGTATAATGTCGACGATCTATGGAATAAAATATCCTGGTTGAACAAAAGCCCGTTATCAAAATCTCTTCCCATTTAAAAAAATTCGTCTATGGCGTACGTTGAAGCCGAGGGGGTGAGAGCGTAGCCAATAAGAGAACGGTAAACAGAGGGAGGAAACGATTAGAGCGCGAAAAAAGAGGGAAAAAATGTGGAGCCGGACTCTTGCCGGGTAGGAGAGAAAAAAAAAATCCCGTCGACGGATGGTCGCCATTCCGTTAGGTCGGATTCTGCGAAATACGTGCACGTCCGAGCGGGCGCACACAAGTCGCGCGGGCTACGAATACACCCCTACTTCTCTATGCAGTTGGGTGCAAATTGGTATTGAAAAATCTCGAAGTCAATTAAAACTCGAGATACAAAGGATTTGGCGAGACAAAATACCAATTATCTCGTGTCCTCCTCCTCCTACGTCGTCCCTTCGACTCCTACCGAGGGGTGCCACGGATTGGGCGGTGGGCGAACCGGGTGACTAGCTCGGGGGATGGCGACGGAGGGATTGAGGACGCTTACAAGAACTCAATTCCATTAAGCGTTGAACTGAGTAAAACGAGGCAGCTCCGTGTGAATGGACATCTACACTATTGCTCAAAAGTATTTACCCATCTTTGAAAGTGAATTATTATTAAGTATTGCAAAATTAATTTAGAGCAGCGTTGCTTTCTTATACCTCCTTGAATGATATTTAAAGTATTTATTAAACGTTTATTTAACGTGCCAAAGTCTAGTTACCGAGGTGATACTTTGAACCTTCGAGGCATCAAAGGTGTTGCTATCAATAATCAATAATTTCCATTGATAATATCGTCAATATATCATTAAGGTTACTAAGAGTATCGGCCGCTTTATCGAAATGAAATATAACGCGTAAAAGAGGAAGAATCAGAAGCGTATTAGGTGAATACGAAAAAGTAGGGATGGACAAATACTTTTGAGGGTTAGTGTATATAACGTAGTTCGCATCTCGGTTATCTACCTAATAAAGGTCCGATTGCCGCCCCTCCGTACCTCGTCTCTCCGAGCCCCGCTACGACATAAAGCATATGCCAGTGGAGGTGTCTACGAGACAATCCCTCGGGATGACAATGCTTATCTCACGTATGAATGCCAGCGATGCTTCCTAGGTAATTTAAGTATAGACCCCCTCTTTCTCTTCGCGCGATAGATACACCTCAATCGTGGCAGCCTTCCTTTTCACTCATCTCGCGATCCACGAGGTCGCGGCATATCTTCGCGTTTGCACGTATGAAAACCCGTTGTCCTCGTTTAATGATTGCCATTAGCGACGAAATCTTTTCGCAGCCCTCGTCCTCTTCCGCAAAACCGACCGCTACCCTACCCCGGTTACTGTGAATTTCGAATGGCTCGGTGAAATCTGTCTGGGGACTCTGTGTCGACGTTTTTGTGCCCTATCGAGCTATTGCCAAGGTCGATCTCAATGGAAATGCCGCGAGAATCGTGGGGAACCGAACAATAACCAGCTTTGTTTCACCGGAGATTACGATTTCGAGAGTGCAAGCTCGCGAATACTTTTTCGCATCGCTCGCGGCTCATTTTTCTTCCTAGTTTCTTTTCATCCTCTATTTCGACCTCCATTTGCCCTACGATCTTTACTGAAGCATCCGGATGAAAAAGAAGATCAAATGCGATATACATAATTCCACCGATCTTCCGTCTTTCATTATAGGACGTACTCGATAAGCGCAAACGCTTGCGGTCGAACAGTATGACCGATTAATTAACGCCCGAACAATTAGTCAAACGCGTAACGTTAATTGATTGCCTATGCTATAGACGAACGTTGAAATCAATTCATCGTGCAACGATCAAACCATTTGGTAGAGAAACTTTGACGAACTTTAACTATACCTACTGGAAGATCTCGGAATTAGATGTACGGTACACGCACTCGATTCAAAATTTCTCAAATAAAATTACAAGATAATACTGCATCACTGAAAAAGAATCAGAGAACAATTAACAATTGAACGTCATTCAATTACTAAACAAGCCGAGAAAGCCAGTCTCATCCGAAAAGCGGATCCCGGTTGCACGAAGGATCTTCCCCCTTCGAGATCCCGTGTCTCGTATGGGTCGGTTCTCGTTCAGGTGGCAAAATCCCAGCTAATTAGTAATCATCCTCCTCTGTTAAATCCGCAGGTGCTCGGCGTATCCAGCCGGCACACCGAGCGTGTAATTCGGATGCGACGGATTATCTGTGAGACGTTTCGACGTTGATCCTGCAAATTAAGTCGACTGCTCGACGCGAACGAGCTAGCAGAGGCAACCTCCTCGTCGACACCGGAGGACTAGGGAGAGGAAGGGATCGGAAGAGGAGGGGTGGTTTGTCCTGGAAGCAGGTGGGGCAGAACGGAACGTAATCGCAATGTGCTTTGGATGATTATAGACAATCGTAAAAGTACCAGAAAGCGACGTGGTAAGAGGGAAGAAGATAGAGTTAGGGGCGGTAGAAAGGACGAGGGGGTGGACGAGGGATATACGGGCCCATGACGGTGCCACGTTGCCACCCCGACGTACACGCTCGAACGCGTTGCGTAATTAGCGACTGCCTCTCCGGTTTTGTGGGTGGATGAGGGGGGTCGTTGGGCGGCCTGGATGCCGAGGGTGAAGTAGGTGCACTGTTACCGTGCGTCGGGATTGGGGCACCCCCTGAAGAACACGTTCGAATAACCGGCAACCGGGCTGAAGCCCATCGCCATGCGTGAGCACACGTGCCATGTACTGGGTGGTTCTTCGTGTAAGATGCTAACTTTTCCAACGATTGTTTATTCGTTATTAAACCCTTTTGATGCTACGGATGATTAAACGCATCTAGTAATTATAGTAAGCACACACAAGCAATTTTCAATATCGAGACGAGCCAAAAATGATAGGGAGCTTGTTAGAAATATTTTAGTTAATCTCCTATACAATCGTGTAACTTTGATGTAACGTATAAAATCTCTGCTATAATCTTCCGCCATGACGTATCGAACAATTCGGTTCACCTTGTGTACGAGCCGCAGATTCGGTCGCGGTAACTCAGCACTGCTTGAATCACTGCGTCGTCTCGCAGCTACTTCGAGGAAGCCTCTCATACAAACGGCTCGTAACGATCAATTATCGAGCATAACGCACGACTGGGAATCGTCACAAAGCCGCCAGCGGATTTTACTACGTAAACACCACCGTCTTGGAGGGCTTGATTATCGCGTTACTCGGTCGCAGATCTGATTTTCTCAAGGAGCGAAACGCGAACGAGAGGGGCTAGAGGGGGACGAATTATGCGGTTCGTGGTGTCGACACTAATCCCTGTCGAAACACCCCCGTATCAGGCGACGAATCGACGAGCTGCCGGAGGTGGTGAGAGGGGTCCACATAGACCGACGTAGACGCAATTAATGCAGAAACCAGCCGCGGACGTCGAGGGCGTTTCGACGAGGGCATCGAAGCTATGCCGTGAGACGTAATGACTAATTGAGATTGGAAAAGAGAAGTGAATAATACGATCCGGGTGGTCACGGTAAAACGCACTTTTTCCTTCCTCCTTCATCCTTTCGTTCCCTATCCCTCCACTCTTCTCTTCGCTCCTCTAACCCTTTCTCGTGTCGATTACAAAGGATCTCTCGCCTGCAGGCACACCAATGGAATTACCGGCTGCGCGATAGCGTTCGCAGCCTCCGATAGGATCACTGGCTCGATTTTAATGCAATCAAAAATTTATCGACATCTAAGTATCTCGAACAGACGGATTTATCAACTTCCTACGTTTATTTTTCTTTTACGAGCGATAGCGAGGAAGTATTAGAAATCTTAAGACTCTGTAATCCCCGTTATTCCTATAACAAATTTGTAATTACACTTTTAACGTCAAACGAATTTCATTATAAAAGAAAACCTTTATACCCCGTTACAAATCTCAAAGAACTCCGGTACCATTCAACAAACTCTTTCTGAAGCATAAAAAAAAATCTACCCCGAGTCCACACTCGACCAAAGTTCTTCTCTTCGCAACAACAAGTTCACCTTTCCGCGAGCAATAAACCAAGACCCGCGTTTCAGTCGCTTACGAGACGCATTCATCAGCATTCACGAAGACAATTCCGCCGTGTGTTGTGACACGATTTGTCACGATATCGCGGCAACGGTTCGCAGCATCGATATTGTGCTACGTACAATCCGCATCCAAGAGTGAAACAACGAAGCTCTGGCAAGCAAGTAAGGCAGGCAGGAAGGAAGGAAGGTAGGAAGGAAGGAAGGAAGGAAGGAAGGAAGGATGGAAAGCAAAAGGAAAGGAACTGCGAGAAGGGGTAAAGCAGGCGAGTAACCAAGCCAGGAGGATACCTCTCACAAGGCAGCCAGAGTCGCGCGAGTGTTCTCCATTCGTCGCCGCTCAGCTCGTCGACATTAAGATAATTACTTTCCAGCAGGACGTGCGCGCTTATTGTTGCCGTTACCGCGGCAGAATGGCATTATGCATTGTCGAGAAGAAAGCTACGGGGTGTGTGTGTGTGTGTAGTTGGAGGGGGTTGACGTAGCGCGAGGTGCGACAGCAGCAAGCAACGGTAGGGGTGGGTGGGGTGCACCCACTCGTTGGTACAGTGCTTGCCAAAAGTTTCCAGCTAAACCAACGATTCATTTATTTATTTATAAGAAACGATCCTATAACGCGTAACAAAAAGAACGCGAGAAAACTAATTAGCTAATTTTTTAATGAGGTTGATGCAATCAAGGAGTTAAACCACCTTGATCAGTTCAAAATTACTGCGTCTTGGTAAATTTATTTCTAAACGATAAAAATATTTCTTTTAATCGAAATTGTTCAAAGATACTTCGTGGAATGGAATTATCGTCATTGGAGACTGATTTTTTAATAATCTGGTAAAAAACATAGTTGACCAGAAACTTTTGGAGATCACTGTATACCTTAGCCCGTGGGTGGAGCATTATTCCGTCAGTTCCATGTTTCGCCATTGAAACTAGCGGGAGCTTGCTTTCCTCGAGGAACACTGTCGTCAGAGGGTGGGCATCCATCGATGTATCCAACAGCTTTCTCCCGGCCCGACGCCATTAATGTAATTATTTCCAGCGAGTGTTTCACAGCCTCGAAACGTTTCGCGGGAATTGAGACTGATCAGCCGGGCCTGCTGGCAGAAAGAAAATCCACGTTCTCAAGGGATACCCTTCGCGGTTCTCCCGTTTTCCTTCCACCCTTCGCCCATTGCTCGCTCGTTCCTCTTCTAGAGGATCGCTCGTCACAGCGGCGACGAAGCGTTAAAACGAGACACGCTTGTCGGATTTGTGTCGCTCGCTTGCAACTGCGATAATACCCTGATTTCTTGTAATGGCTTTTGCTCGCGGTCCGTTGCCTTCCGATTCTTATCTCGGCTGTTTCAAAGTTGACAGAGAATTAACAAACTTCATACTTAATTGTACCATGAGAGAATGGAAGAAAATTGTAAATCTCCCTTTTGAAAATCGACGGTTCGTTGTGTACACTCAATTTCATTTTTCCACGCGAAGTTGGCCCCCAATTTTGAACAGGTATGTCGAAATTTCGTAACCTCTTTGGCGGAAAAATTCTCGTGTAAACAGGTTCGGTGAATGGTGATCTGAAACCGGAAATTCGGTGAGATAGACATGCAAGGAAGGTAAATTCAGCGTGAAGAATTAAATCGTTCGGAAAAGGGGAGTGGGATAAATTTCTTGTTCACGTTGCATCATGTCCGCGGCGGATACCTTCATCGAGGAGGATGGTTTTGGATTTGTACCCAGGCCGATTCGCGACGAACAGAATAAACCGTACGAAATCGTTAAAAGGTATATTGCTGTTCGATATCACAGAGAAAGAAAAGTAAATATTTCCTTTAGTACTTTCTTCAATCGTTTTGTTACACGCTCGATCAGATATACAATGACCAATAAACACAAAGCATCGGTGCAATTGATATCTTGGGGTGCTGGTATTCAATCGATCAAGATTCCGAATAAACTGGGAATTCTGGGCGACGTTGTTTTAGGATTCGACGACATGAATGGTAAAAAGAAATTTTTTTATCTGAACGGGGTGTGTCTATCCTGGTCTCGAGGATCCTTGAACATTCATGAAAATATAATCAGGTTATTTGGAGCACAGGTACATAGGAAGCATAATCGGTCGGGTGGTGAATCGAATTTCGAATGGTAAAATGAACGTCGAAAACAAGGTTTACTCGTTATCGATCAACGACAAGGATTGTGCTACTCATTTTAACGGTGGTTTTGAAGGCTTCGACAATGTTAATTGGAATTCTTACATAATGAACAAACACGTGGTGCGAAAACGATTAAGTACTCGTATTTCGGTACCTAAGAAGGTTACATATTTTTTCAAATATTGTTCCGAGTAGGTGATGTCTCATTTAAGTCCAGCAAACAACGAAGGATATCCAGGAAGTATGCTAACGCAAATTAAATACTCTTGGACGGATGATAATCAGCTTCACATTAACATACGAGCGACAGCTACTAAATCAACACCTGCTAATATCACTGCTAATTGCTTGATGAATCTCGCTGGCCACGTAATCATTTACCAACGATTTCCATAAGGAAAAAAAAATAAAATTTAAAATAATTATTTTAATTGAGTATTCTTTGTATCTGTTACAGGCGACTGGACCAAATGAAATGAAGAAACACCTGGTATCGATGAACGCAGCAAGTTGGACCTTCGCGGACATCAAAGCCAACTATTTGCCGACAGGTGCTATACATCCGGTTGATCGTACAGTCTACGATCTACGTTTACCGACACGGTTAACCAGGAGGCAACTTTACAACGTACCAGGGGGTGGTTACAATCAGAACCTCTGCATAACCGGTCCCAGTTGTTGGGTCTATCGATTCCATGCAAGGTAAGTGAAAATTAGATATTTCTCAAATTTCGAATTTCAATGAAAATAGATGTTTACGTTGAAAAATGTTACATCGTCAATTTTATAAGGGGTTGGTAATTATTTTTTATATCGGCTATGGTTCTCCGAAATTTTCATCCAGAATTCTGCATCCCGATTCGGGAAGAACTTTAGAGATATATTCGAATCAACCAGGCTTGCAATTTTACACTGGAAATGATCTACCAGACCCCGATCGCGTTTATCCCCCTGATTTCGAGGATTATTGTAACATCGAGGACGAAGTTAGACAATTTGAATTTTGATCAATTAGGATTTTTAAAGGTTCAGAAATGTCGAATAAAATCCATTACAGATACCGGAAATGTACGAAGAACAAAAAGAAATTTGGGGTAAGGATGGTGTTCGGTATCGAAGACACGGTGGATTCGTTATGTCACCCCAGAACTACCCCAATGCAATTAATATAAGCAATTTTCCTTGCTGCATACTTTACCCCGGTGAAGTTTATGCTCACGATATGACTTATAAATTTGGTTTATTGTCTGGGAAATAAATGAAAACTTCAGACTCGTTAATTAAAAAAAAAAACAAAAAAAAACAATATAAAACTAATTACTGTGCTCGTTATTCAGAGAGCTTGTATTTTATTTCACGCATCAATTTGCTGTTTCTTAATTTATTCATGGTAATACTTAGTCGAGAAATGAAAATTATAGATTTATAACACATATATTTGTGAATCGTCCCGGTTGGAATAATCCTCGCATTCGCGATTGATTGTACAAAATTATCCATCATAGTTTCTATTCACATATCTATCGTAAAGACAATCGTACAACTTTCCTCTGTGTTTTTAACTGACACGATTAAGGATGATTAACGATCGTCTCCTAAAATTGTACATATATTATCTGATCGATTATCGTTACTTGCCTTATATAAATTCTCTTTTAATCGTCCTGAAGGCACTTAAACGCGACGGTGCAAGACACGCGCAAACCAGGTACCCCGGTCTGCGAATTCTACACGAATTTCACTATCTTCTAGCCGTCTATAAACGTTATATAAATATATAAAGCTACGTCTGTGTATGTATACATTTCATCGTTAAACTTAGGTATAATAGAAATCTTCGTTTTTCGTTTGTACATTCCTAGAGTGTTCAATTTCTACGTGTAACATTTCAACAAATGACAGTAATTCTGCAGGCAGTTTCCGATCTGCATTTAGTCTTCTTTTTAAATTTCATAAGTTTCACGAGTATTTCGAGGCATTGTTGACGTAGATTATGGTTAGTTTCGAAAAAGATAAAAAATAAAAATGAAAAAGTTTTAAACACGAACAAGGCAGAGGCAGTGTTAAGGAATAATTAATGGTATACAGCAACGTTCTAGATACGCGAGAAAAGAAGAAAAATAATTATTTGGCAGTGAGTCGAGGCTACAAATGAACACAAATTAAAAAGCGTTTTAAGGCTTCACCTGCCCGAACGAATATCCGAAAGTTTCGTGCCATAATACTTCTAGCTCGGCTAATTTCTCTCGTTCCACGTGGCGACATGAAAAATTGACTAAAAGAACGGAAACACCGTTCCTCTAGGAATTACTCCGTCACTATTAAGTGCACTCTAAAGGTGAGTGGCCTTTCCCAGACTTCGTTCTCCTCGTTGGTGCCATTTCTCGAACGTCCATGAATCAACAGCCTGAATCGATCGGGTTTCTTCAATCGACTACGGAAGTGCAACGCGGATATTCCGTGCTCGTTCACAATCTCGAAATGATTATCTTCGTTTCCTTTAATAATCTTGTACTCTATGTCGTCCTACGAACATCGATAATCGTTTGTTACTTAAATTTTCATTAAAAGATGAAATATAGAAAAGATTTCTCTTACCTTGACAGCCGGCTGCAGTTTGATGATTCTCATCCGGTGCCTAGTCTGTCGCAAACTGATCTTAAGAACGTATTCCTCGCCGTGATGATGCCTCTTCGCAGCTCTGACGAATCGTTTCTTCATGAATTCATTTCGTCTCGCGGTCATCTCTGCGTCCATTGATTTCGTTCGAACACCCCTTCTGTGTCTTCCTTTCCCGTTGATCTATTAATTAAAAAACATTCAAATTTGAATGAGTATATAGCGAAAAAGGGGGTAGATTTTAGGGTACCTTGCAAGAGAAACAACCCTCCGTTGATATAGTCTTATCATCCGCTGGTGGTATGTGATAGGGATCAGGATTGATCACAAAAGTCGGTGCATTGCTGATATCCTCACCGTAGTGCCCTTGCGATAAGGGATTTATCGTTGAAAGACAATGACCCTATTTAAAATTACATTATAAATCTTCCACATGTTTCCTTCGAATGAATTGACTTTTTTTAAAATTTTAATTACAAACCTGACCAATTCGCTGGTAACCACTCGGACATCCACAAATGAATCCATTCGCTCCATTAGGGGTGCATCCGAATGCACATGGACTTCCCATGCACCCAGCACTCACCTAGATCATCAATTTTTCTCTTTCTTTAATATCAACTACTGATTCATCTTACGATAGTGAAGGTGCAAATCTGTTACCTGAACACAAATCTGTAGATTATTGTCAAATTGATAGCCATCAGGGCAGCCACACTTGAAGCTACCAATTGTATTGATGCATGTATTGTCACCGCAAGGAGACGTGTTGCATTCGTTCTCGTCGATGCATTGATTGTAGTACAAGTGTTGGACGAAACCCTCTGGACAACCACACCGATAGCTTCCCATAAAATTCTGTGTAGAAAAATATCCATTTTCGCACAATTTTAAATTCTGTTAAATTCGCGAATTTAATTGGTAGTTTAGTAATCACCTGACAGCCATGCTCGCAGGTGGAGTCCTCAGCACACTCGTTCTGATCGACACAAAATCTACCACTCTGATCGAGTTTGAATCCTCTCGGACAGATACACCGAAAGCTTCCAAGAGTATTAATACAAGTACCCGGTTTGGGACAAGTTCCATGCTGTTCGCATTCGTTTATATCTACATAGATAGGAAATAATTAGCACCAGTAAATTCTGGCTGCTCGATAATGATTACTTACCATGGCAAGCGTCTCCATCTTGGGTGTATCCTTCCTGGCAGCCACAAGTGTAGCTTCCTTGAGTGTTGATGCAGTTCTGTTGACACAGATGATTCCCGGTCGCACATTCATCCAGGTCCCTGCAGCTGACCCCGTCGGGATTCAGAATGAAACCCGCAGGACACGAACAAATGAAACTTCCTTCTGTGTTCTGGCAGTTGTACTTGCACGGTTTCGGTACCGTTTCGCACTCGTTTATGTCTACAATTTATTATTTAATATTTAACGTTTAAACGTGTAGGGCTGCTAGGTCAGGGCTTCGATTCTTCATTTACAATCCAACCCATATCCAGATTATTTTTCTCCATCATTTTCATTACTTACCTACACACTGAGTACCAGATTTGTCGGGCTTGTAACCCTTGTTGCAAACGCATCTATAAGACCCCAAAGTGTTAATACACAGCCCGTTTCGGCACAAATCAGGAATCGTTCTACACTCGTCGATATCTGAAAAGAATTTCCGGTTACGTACCGATAAGAATAAAAAATGATTCATTATTTAAGTACCTTGACCGTCTACGGAGAAACCTTTGTCCAAACACAGTTCATTATAATTATCAGAATCTTTGGAAGGACATATTTCACAATGAGGACCCCAAGCTGCACCCATTGTGCAACAGCAGTCCGCTTTTGTTACTGTTTTCAAGTCGGAAGTCCTCGCTGTGCATCTACCACCGATCGTTTGCAGGAAACAGTATCCCACTCTTCGATCTAACGAAAGATTCGATCAATCTTTTGTTTATCTTTTATCTTTCTTTTCTACATACCTATGCAAGATTTTCCATCTGGGCTTTGCTCGAAACCATCGTAACAGTAGCATTGATAACTCCCTTCTAAGTTGACGCATTGACCATTTCGACATAGTCCTGAATTGATAGCACATTCATCGATGTCCTTGCACTCATCGGTCATGCCGATTTGTTGGAAACCAGGCGGACAGATGCACATGAAACTACCGATCAGGTTCTTGCATTGGTATTTGCAGTTGTTCGCTGGCGTTGCACACTCGTCGACGTCTGAAACAGTGATTAGCTTCTTATATTTTAAATGTTCTTGGGTTTCGTTGCAATTTATTTGTCTAATGATGAAAAAGAATGAAAAGATAGTAATTCTACAGTCACCTCTGATTCTAAACATTCACCCACCTATGCAGTGTCGTCCATCAGGCGCCAAAGTGTACCCGTAAGGGCAAATGCACCTGAACGATCCCGGTGCATTGTGACACCTGAACGCACACTGGTTGCCCATCTCTAGGCACTCGTTCACGTCCTCGCAGACCTGGTTCACACCAGGTGTGAATCCTTCGTTGCAAGAGCATTCGAAACCACCGTCTATATTCGTGCACGTCCCATTACCGCATATATTCTGCACCGTCAGACACTCGTTGTTGTCTATGCAGCGTCTTCCAGTCGCGTCCAGCATGTATCCTGAGGGGCACTCGCACCTGAAGGAACCGTCGGTGTTTATACACTCACCACCGGCACATGCATCCGGCATGAACAGGCACTCGTTCAGATCGATTCCTGTGTCGTCTCTGCCTGGTCCCTCGGGACACAGTCGTTTGAATTCCTCTGGAAACATTGGATTTTTCAAATTGCCTTGACACTCTTTAGTTGGTGTGAAATAATTTATAAATTAGATTCTCACCACTGTCCTCCGGAGGGCACTGTTCACAGTATTTGCCCCAAGCCTTCCCCATAGTGCAGCAGCAATGTTTCTTCGTCATGGCCCCTGTTCGAGGATAGGTACATCGTCCTCGCAGATGTGATACGTAACGATCGTAACAGAATTCCTCTCTAACATCGATACATCGCATCGAGTTTGGTTTGTCGCTTAATTTATATCCAACCGGACACTCGCAGATCACACCACCCTCCGTGTTGATGCAACGACCGTTCTCGCAAATTCCTTGAGTCTCCACGCATTCGTCGACATCTGTGCAGATCAATTTCAATCGCATCTATGTTTTATCCGTTTGATTCTTTCTTCACTTACCGACACATCTTTTCTTCGTGTGATCCAATTCGTAACCCGGCGGGCAATTGCATATGTAAGACCCCATTAGATTCTGACACTTCCCGGGCGGTGGACAGAGACCGGGTACCTAACGTAGTTTTTCATTAATATTTTAGCTCATCAAGGTTTTCGGACAATTATTTGTATATTTATTCGTGGATTGCTCACTTCGCGACACTCGTCCACGTCTCTGCAATGTTGACCATCTTGGGCCAAAACATAGCCATCGGCACATTCGCAGATAAACGCGCCAACAGTGTTTCGGCATCTTCCGTTGCGGCACAGGAAAGGCATGATTCGACATTCGTCGATATCTGTCCCAAGATTTATTCGTTTCAATTACAAATTACTATTAACTTCTTCGAACCAACCTGATCGAGTATTTTTATTGAAAGTCTTTCACTCACCCGCGCAATCGTTATTAGGACTAAGCTTGAATCCTTGATAACATATACATTTATAGGAACCCAGGGTGTTGACGCATGTTCCATTATTGCAAATGTTCGGATTGCGTTGACACTCGTCTATGTCCACGCAATTGTCCCTGTCCCTGGTTAACGCGAAACCAGGATGGCAAACGCATTGGAAACTGCCTTGCAAGTTGTTACAGGCACCGCTATTGCAGATTCCAGCTCTCTCGTAGCATTCGTCGATGTCCACGCAGTCTCGTTGACTCAGTCCAAGTTTGTACCCTGCTGGACAAGTGCACTCGAAGTAGCCTTGCTTGTTTATGCACTGTGCGTTGCCACTGCAAGGATTTGGAATCTGTAACAAAAGAAGGGTTGAAATAACCTGTTATGGATTAATCGATTAAAATCATCCTACCTGTAGACACTCGTTTTCATCGATACATTGATGAGAATCCTGATCGTACACGTATCCACGATCGCACTGGCACTCGAAGCTCCCAGGAGTGTTCATGCAACGACCGTGAGTGCACATGGTCGGCATAAGCGAGCACTCGTCAATTTCTTCCGTGTGATTGGTTATGGGATTCATTATTTGACCGGGTACCATGCCGCAAAGAATTTCGTGTTCACCTTCAAGAATAACACATTCGTGATCTGTCTCTTTACGAAGAATTACGTTTTATACACTTACGAGTCCTTTCCGCGGGACACCGTTCGCAAGGACTTCCCCAAGCAGCTCCCATGGAACAACAACACAACATTTTCGTTTGCGGATGCATCATGGGATTGAAACACTGGCCATTGTCATAGTCGAGGTAACAGGATTCTTTTCTCATGTCGACGCATTCCTCTGAAAAAACGAGGCAGAAAAATAGAAAACTTTGTACCTTCTGATAAAATAATTCACTCACTTCCTCCTGGCATAGCCATGTATCCTTCCGGGCACTCGCAGTGGTATTTTCCTTGATCGTTGATACAGTAGCCCACCCCGCATATTTGTGGATGCAAGTCGCATTCGTTTATGTCTGCAAATGCCAGAGATTTAATTTCCTCGTTTGATAATTTCAAGTAAATTCTTCGAAATTACCGATGCAACTGGTCTTGGTGTCATCCAGAATGAAACCCTCGTTGCAGGAACACATGAAGCTACCGAAAGTGTTGGTACAGTGTCCATTCTGACAGATATTCTCGTGTTCCTCACACTCGTTGATGTCCTCCAGGATAACAGTGACTCGATTAGGTCTGTATCCAGGTCCTCCAGGGCAAAGTTCCTCGAATTCTCTCGTTCCTATCTGAGGGCACTCCTCGCAATTGTTGCCCCAAGCGTTGCCGATGCTGCAGCAGCACGTCGCCTTTGTCACCGCGGATGACAAGTCGAAGATGCATTGAGGTTTTCCGGTGCCGTGTTCGAAACCGGTGAAACAAAACGATTCTCTCCTATCTAGAATATTATCGTATTATAAAACTACAGTTTAAATAGTCCTGCAAGGATGAAAAATATGCAATTGCTCACCAACGCATGCGTTTCCAGCTTCCACCAGCTCGTGATGAGGCGGGCACTTGCATATATATTTCCCTTGCGTGTTTATACACGTGCCGTATTGGCAGGATTGCGGATTTTCACATTCGTCGATGTCCGTGCAATTCCCTCCCGAACCGTCCAGTTTGTAGCCCTCGTTGCACTCGCACCGGAACATGCCAAATATGTTCTCGCAACGACCGAACACGCAGAGATTACTGAACATCTCGCACTCGTTTATGTCCACGCACATTTGCTCGTTGTTCTCGTCGGGATGCATGAAGCCCATTTCGCATTCGCAACGAAAAGAGCCTGGATAATTGAGACAGTGTCCGTTCTCGCAGAGGGTGTTATCGTTCGCGCACTCGTCGATGTCTTTGCAGGTGTATCCATCGCCACGGAAGCCAGCATCGCAGACGCACTGAAATAATTGAATTTTTTTTTATAATTTAATTTAATAGAAAATTGATGATATAGAGAAATTTATTTAGTAGGATTTTCAAGTTTAGGGTAGGATTAGGTTTTTCCCAATTTGCACAGTGCTAGAACAAAATGTCAAATAATTATACAATAAGATCATTCAAGTTATGTCTTTTTAATTTCATATCTATGCGCGCTCTGGAAATAGTACCACTGGTACCATCTGACGGTAAGCGGGGAAATTAACTATACAGAAAATTACATACTTTTTATTAAATAAACGAGTTCTGTACTTCTGTGGTGCCGTTGCATCTTATCACCTCAACACAACTTAAATGATGGCAGGAAAATTCATGCGAAGTTTTTGAAAAGTTATTTTTCTTTAATTAGTTCCGACGCTGAAAGCTAGATAGTGCCAGCGGTACTGTGTTCAAAAGGATCTCGAGATCCTAAATAATTTTTCTTAAAAACGAAATTGATATTACCTTGAACGATCCTTCGGTATTGATGCACTGTGCATTAGAATCGCATCCTCCGTTATTCGTCAGGCACTCGTTGACATCCCTGCACTCGACCCCGTTGCCCACGAAGCCCTCGTGGCAGGTGCACTCGTAGGATCCTTGAGTGTTCTGGCACTCGGCGAATTCGCTGCAGGAATACGCGTTCAGTAGACACTCGTCATCGTCGGTGCATCCGGGACCTGCATCCGGTTTCACGGAATATCCTTCTTCGCACCGACAGTTGAACGAACCGATGGTGTTGTAACATTCACCGTAGCCGCAGATCTGGGGCTGAGTGGTGCATTCGTCGACGTCTAAAAAAAAATGCATCGATAACAACGTTCAAAAAGAATCAGATTATCTTTTACATACCTACGCAAGATGCGCCATCCTTCCCTGGCAACAATCCATCGGTGCAGGTGCATATATAGCCACCTGGGATGTTGGCGCATTTGCCTCCGTTGCAAATTCGAGGATTCTCTTTACATTCGTCCACGTCCACGCAGGATCGACCATCAAGATTCAGAGCGAAACCGGTGCTGTTGGGAAAAAATTCAAAAGCCATTGCGACGATGACGATAATCACGAACCAGCTTGTACATAAATACCAAAGTACATACCCGCAGGAGCAAGAGAAGCTGCCTGGCGTGTTCAAACAAATATCCTCGCATCCTCCATTGTTGGTCGCGCACTCGTTTATATCCTCGCAATGGGACTTCAATCCAGTCTGTTGATAACCATCGTCGCATATGCACTGATAAGTGCCCATCATGTTCTCGCAAACACCGTTCGAACAAATTCCACTGGTTCTCGAGCATTCGTCGATGTCCTTGCAAGATTGCTTGTCAGGACTTAATTCGTGTCCAGGAGGACAGTGGCACTTGAAACTGCCCTCCGTATTGATACACGTGCCTCCCAGACACAATCCTGTCGTTTCCTCGCACTCGTTTATATCTAAAATCAATGACCACGAGTTAATTACCATCGATCGATCGTGTACGTTTGTTCCATTCGATTCTTCTTAGCTTATCCAGTTGGTTAGTCTCGCGCGTAGTTCCGTCCGGTGCTACGTACCCATGCAAATTTTCATAATATCGCTGCTGCGATATCCAGGATTGCAGTCACACTGGAAATTGCCAGGCGTGTTCCTGCAGGTCCCGTTTCCGCACACTCCATGCATGATCTCGCACTCATCGATATCTGCGTACAAACGATAGAAATATTCACGCCATTGTCCCGTTTACGTGAAATCGAAGGACGCGTTAACGCGTCAAACGTCTCTAATAAACTTAAATCATAGTTGGCTTGGACCCACGGTTAATTCATTTTTTTTACCATAAGCTTCATTTGGAAATTCAATGATATTTCAAAGTAAAGTTAAACAAAAATATAATCCCTAATCGAATTAGAGTTACACAAATAGAGTTAGTAAATACCACAAATGTGTAGATCCTCCGAAACACGAAAGATCCCATTCGACCCAATAGCCCTCGACATCGAACGATTATCGATCACTCACCGTTACACTTGATCCCATGTTCGTCTAACGCGAAACCCTGGTTGCACTTGCAACCGAAACTACCAACTGTGTTCTTGCACCTTCCGTTCAGACACATGCTAGGAAACTCGATGCATTCGTTGATGTCCTGCCTGTCGGTGAAGCCCTGTCCCCTGGGGCATAGTTCTTGGTGGACGTGGGTGCCCGGTTTCGGGCAGGACTCGCATCTTTCGCTACCCCATGCGCGACCCACGGAACAGCAACAGAGACTCTTGGAAAATTGACCATCGATCGCGTTCGAGCACTGTCCGTGACGGTACTCCATGTAACAGGTCTCTTGTCTAGTGTCTATGCACGTGGTGTCTGAGGAAAATGTTTATAAATTTAAATATCGCGTTAATTATGTCGTTAAAAATGATCATCGCGTACAGAACTTACGTGTTGCGTCTAATGTCAAACCAGGTGGACATTCGCAGCGATAGGAACCATCGGTGTTAACGCAAGTACCGCCTCCCTTGCAAATTCCGCTGTTCAATTCGCATTCGTTCACGTCAACGCAATCTTTGCCACCGAATTTCGCGTATCCTTTCGAGCACTCGCAGAGGGAGTGATCGCAAAGTTCGCAGGGGCTTCCCCAAGCGACCCCTACCGAGCAACAGCACTCCGATTTGAGTGCCAGCCTTGGTAAATTGTACTCGCAACGACCGTCTATCATTTTCGTCCAGCAGGAACCTCTCCTATTATCTGAGAGAAATTTCAATTATACTTTCGTTTCTTTTACGAAGAATTCATTTGCTCAAATTTCTGCTTGTACCCATGCATATGTGCCCGGTATGATCGAGAACGTATCCGGGAGAACACTCGCACTCGTAGGATGTCGGAGTGTTCGCACAGATCCCGTTTAAACACACATCCGGTCCGAGTTCCTCGCATTCGTCGATGTCCTCGCACATGTGGTTCTGCGTGTTGAACCTCGTTCCACTTGGACAGATACACTGTGTGAATATAGATTTGATAAATATCGCATTATTCGGAAGTTAAATTAATTCGCCAAGTGTCGAAATATAAAATCTGTGACGTTTGTTTATTTACCTGGAAGCTTCCGGGTGTGTTTCGACACTGACCACCGCTGCAAAGAGATTCCTCTAATTCGCATTCGCTTATGTCGGTACAGATTTTTCCTGTCGCGTCCACCTCGTAACCACTGTCGCAGATGCAACGATAGGTTCCCATGAGATTCTCGCAGCCACCGTTCACACAGATGTTGGGATTCTGTGCGCACTCGTTGATGTCTGTTTAGTCAAACAGAATAATTTTTTCAGTTTTATTGAATGATCTTCTATCTTCGATTAATTACCATCTCCATTGTAAGTCATCCCAGCTCCATGTGGGCAAAGAGCATCGAATTCGCTCGTGCCAGGAAGTGGACAGGCTTGACAGGTACTTCCCCAGCCCATAGGTTGTCCCAAAATCACGGTGCAACAACAGCAGCTCGATTTTGTCACTGCTGTTGACGTTGGGTTCGAACACTGTCCATCTTTGTATTGCGAATAGCACAGGTCTCTTCTTGTGTCTATTAGAAATGAAAATTTGTTAAATTTGTTCATTTTATATGTTAATTAATATCATAGAGTTAGGATTTTGATTAATGACAAACCTAAGCAGGATCTTCCATCCGGTCCTAAATTGAATCCAGGATGACACTCGCACCGGAAGCTACCAGGAGTGTTGATACAGCGACCACTTTGACAGGGTCCGCTTAGGCACTCGTCGATATCTGATTAATGTAAAGATTTATCGTAAAATTTTCGAAATGATAAATTAAAATTAGGAAAAAGTGCAAGTGCAACACGCACCGATGCAATGACTCTGATCTGGTCCAATCCGGAATCCAGAGTCGCAGACGCATTTGAAAGAGCCCTCCATGTTCACGCATTTCCCGTTTTCACACATACCACTGGTGGAACACTCGTCCATGTCCACGCAGAACGTATTATCTCGCGACGCCGTGAATCCAGATTGACAGATGCAGTGATACGATCCCGGTGTGTTCTCGCATCTTCCGTTTAAGCAGATACGAGGATTATCAGCGCATTCGTTGATATCTATGAACGGATATATTTGTTCGTTTAAATCAAAGTAGAAATATGTGTATTGTATCGTTGGAAGAATATTTTTACCTATGCAAGTATTCTTTGTCGGTGATAGAGCGTAACCATCGTTGCACTTGCATTTGAAGGATCCATTCATGTTGATGCAATGTCCGTTGTTGCACATCCCTGTATCCTGGCACTCGTCATGGTCTGCCAGAAAAAAAAGTGAAATATTTAAGAAATTGAAAGGTCGTTCGAAGATTAGAAAATTTGATAAATTAAAGGAACGAGGAAAATGAAAATTACCTGTACAATATCTTCCTTCACCCGACACGACGAATCCTGGCGGGCACTGACAAGTGAAACTGCCCTCGTAATTCTGACAAGTGCCACCCTGACAATATCCCAATAGACACTCGTCGATATCCTCGCATCTGCCTGCCTTCTTGGTGAAACCAGGATAACAATCGCACTCGTATCCATCCTTCGTGTCGATACACTTCCCGTTTCCGCATATATCCGGTCGTAGAGCGCACTCGTTTATGGCGGTGATGGGTTGCAGTTGTTGCAAGCATAGCCTGTTGTAATCGTCTATAATTGAGTAATAACACGGTTCCCGTTACTCGCAATTACCGTAAACATTGTCCGTGCCTTCTGGGCGACTTGATTTTAAACGAAGACCGTTCTACTTGCAGCTTCTCCCTTGCCAGAGGTATGTCTATTGTTTCTACGTACCACTTCCGGGATTGGGACAAATGTAGCACTCGTCGCCCCATCCTCGTCCCATGTTCTTTCCACAGCAACAGTCTTTCTTGCTCAATCTCATCGATAACCGATTTTTGCATTGACCATTTCTATTCACAGACGTGTAACATAAACCTTGTCTTCCATCTGCAAATATTTATATCAATGAAAAAAAGAAACTAATAATGATAGAAGAATTTTCAACCACTTTCGTACCGATACAGAATCTTCGATCCTGGCTTTGAATGAATCCTGGATTGCAGAGACAATAATAGCCACCGTTTGTGTTCACGCAACGTCCATCCTCGCAGATTCCCTCCTCCTGGCACTCGTCTCTATCCTTGCAAGCATTCGTCTCAGGATCTCTCGCCTGTCCGTCAGGACATTCGCAGGTGAACGAACCAGGTGTGTTCAGACACTTGCCACCCTCGCATAGCCCTGGTATCGCTTCGCACTCGTTGATATCTGATCAACGATAGATGAATTTTTATCGATTTCGTAATCAATAGCATTCATCGGTAATTACTCACCGACGCATTGGCCTTGATTGGTCTTCAAGTGTCCCAATTCGCAGTCCAGTCTAGCCGGACACCTCTCGCAGGGGTGACCCCAACCCTTGCCCACGGTGGCGCAACACAACTGTCGCGTACAAACGACGCCCTGAAGGTTCGCCAGACATTGTCCATTCTTTACTTTCGTGTAACAGGGACCGGTCCTTGAGAAATGATAAACGAAACACTAATTCACTTGGGGCGAATCAGAAGGTTAATTTGAAAAAATGCAGTTTACCTGTAATCAGTTTCACATCGTCTACCTGTGTACCCGTAGATGCAAGCGCAACGATCTGGACCGATGCATCTTCCTTGGTTCAAACATGGCTCTCGACAAATCGCTGTTACAGAAAATTTTTTAGAAACCTTTGGTTGGGCCTTGGATATTTTTATTATCGCGATGATTTCTAGGGTAGTAACTCACGTTCGTTACAGAATTCTCCTTGGTACCCACTGCGACATTGACACCTGCCATCCACGCAGTTCCCATTTATGCAATGCGCCCTGCATCTACCAGACTCACCCCTTTCTAACGCGCTACTACTATCGTGGCTGGCAGCTATTATAAAATTAATAATATATATTGTTGCGTGTTTGGAAAATGTATCTCTTAAATATTCGATGAGAGATTACCTTTACTTTGACTGCTAGCACAAGACGAGGCCACCGTGCCACCCTCGCACAAACAAATGTTTGGTCTGATGCATCTGCCTGCCGTACCGCATCGTCTTGTGCACACAGCTATAAACGATATTAATCTAAAATATTTTATATAATATATACATGATAATTCGACAAACAAGCAATTTCCATATCAATCGATAAACTAACAAATCGTGATTAGAGGAGACAGTACGATCAGCAGGAAGCGTGTAACACACTCTATTAAAGCAATTTTCTTCGAGTACGGACATCCATTTATCCGCTGATTGCGTAACGTTACAATTATTTATCGTCGTGTAAAAGCGTGCTCGATCATCGCGATGTTACCTTCCAGGCTGCTCGATAATCGACGCTAAAATTGAACGTGCTCGAGAGCGAACGACTTATGAGATCACGTCCAATTACGAGAGGGGGAGAATTCAGCAGGGATTATAATTGAACTTTTTAATTCCAAGTGCCGCTCGCTCTTACTTACGGATTACACAGAGACCGGTCTCGGGCTTCTTCGTCCATCCGGGGCAACAGTAATTCTTGTATCTTGACCTGCACACGTTCGGCCTGGAAAATGAAACCCTTCGCTAATGATGATTTACAATTGAAAGCTGGATAACGGAAGTATTTGCGAAAAAGTATATGTCAGCAGACGTATTTATATTTCAGATAAATAATCCTCTGCTCTAAATTATAGCCGCGAAATGGCTGGTCATGCGAATGGAAAATGAAAAAAAGGGGGTAGTGTTTACGGTCCTGTAAATACGCGTAAGCGCAGCAAGTTGCGGCGCCAAGGCGCGTAAGTGGAAGTACTCAGAGATTGGCTATATAGCAGCTGACGTTAATTACGAGCCGGGCCGTGTGAATGGCCGCCTTGTTCCGAGGTGGCACACCACGTTCTCTTCCCATTCTTTATTCTTGTCAGCGCGTGCCACGGCACCGCGTTACCGTCACGCTCGCTTTGCAAAAATTCCGTTTCCGCCTTTTGATAACGCAGCGACCTCGTTTCAAAGCGTTATCATCCGAATCGCAAGCGCGTTTAGCCTTTCTTCTATCAACGTTCGATATACCGATATTAGTAAAGAAAGTTAATCAAGCGTTTTGCAATAATTAGGCAATATTTGTAACTTTCACTTATCACTCTCACTGCGATCGATAGGTAATTGGTTAATGTTTAACACGATATTTATGCAACAGATTATACACCCGTTAAGAAAGGGTCTCGTTAGAGGCAGCTGTTCATTATTTCATAATTACAACCTACAAGGTACCGTTGTAACGACGTAATGAAACGATTTCTAATTTGATAATGAACCAATTTTTCGAAAGGGCAACCGATCTGCATACAGATTGCATGGTAGATTTACCTGTCGCAATGTTCGCGTGAACTATAATTTTCCAATTAATCGTGACGGATAAAAATCAATCATCGCGTCGACGACACATTTCTATACTTTGAATATATTCGTGAACAATTTATCTTTTGATGCAACGATATCGGTATGTTCTAACCGGGTGTTCAATAATATTAATGAGAAAAAGCGTATTTATCGCGATATGGAAATGATGTTGGAGGCAGCTGCTTGAATAATGTCACTTGATCAGGTAATCCTGTAATAAATTTAAACATCACTGTTTAATTATGGTTTGAGGTAATCGATTTGAGTTATTTAAATGTTAAATGTCGTACTATCGAATATTACAAATTATAAATATTGAATATCGCTAAATCATTCTAAATAATATACCAAAGGTAAGAGAAGAAAAAAAATGGGGTTGCAAAATAATCGCTTGCTCGTCGATTTCATCGGTTTAATTCGTAAAGCGGTTCGCGGTATGCGTGCTCGCGCAATAATCCAATAAGCTAACAGCACAAACCCTGATGCGTGTCTAAACAGCCTTAGCAGCGGGTGTGGGTTTAAAAGTTCAATTGGAAAGTGCACTTAATGGATCTGAAACGGCCGCTGGAATGGCTCTGTCGAGATGGCGGATTATGGTCCATTAACGGTTAAAGCGATCAAAAGGCGACTAATAAAGTCGACCGTGTTGAGCTTCTAAGCTCGAGAAAATGAGTTAGTACGAACGAACAGAAAAAAAAGTGGGATGGGAAGAAAAATGAACGAGGTAGAACAAACAAACACTGACCACTAATTTATGGCCTCTTAAAGCACCATCGAGGGATTAAAGCAAGTTATTGAGGACAGTCGGTGTTGTTACGAAACAACCGACGATGTAATATCAACCGGTTACGATGAAAATTTATTGTATCGTTTATTACACTCTGCCATTGATAATTAGAGGAAAGACGAAAGGGTGCGTTCGACGCGGAATCGGTGAACCTTCGTTACGCACCCAATTGTCGTAATTGACGGACCTACGTATGTGTTCCATTTTCGAACAAACTATGATTACCGCCTTCAATGCACCTTGACTTTTAAATTAAAAATAAAATAAGCAAAATTCATTGTATAGGTATTTTAACAAAAATAGTTTAATAACTTTTATCATTTGAAATAAGAAACTTAAAACAATTCATTTTAACCCTAGTGTTAAAGACGTAACATTTTCTAATATAAATTTTTTCATATAAATTTGGAATATTTGAAAACGTAATTTTGAGACAGTAGACTCTACCATATCATTAAGTAGTTTATCACTATGAGAAATGTGTTTGTTTTACAACCATGAACCAACTTAAAGTCATCCCATAAATTAAGTAATAATTCCCTTCACGAACGATGAACACTTTAACACAGGAAGTTAAGAAGATACCAAGGGTGTTCCCACAAGTCGAGGATGGTCGAAAATAGGATAGGACCTATTTCACGGCTAATGGGATCATCGCTTATATAATTATCCACGGTTAGTCTGTCAGTTGGATTAGTCGAAACTAAACGAACTCCTTACGTAATAGAAAAGGAAGTGAAAAGAAGGAGGAACCCGGGGGGAGGAAAAGTGACGCCTTCGTTGCATACTGACACGTTTCGGTTGATATGGTCGGCAACGAGGATTGCTCGCCAATTAGAATCGATTCGTGAAACGGGGTCGGACGTAACTTAGATTCGGCGAAATCTCAATTTGAAGTGATAATGGTTCTCGGGCGCGATAAGAATAACGTCATGTACGAAATTTGTTCAAATGAATTTTGAGAATCAGCAGCAGTGCAACGGACCATTTAAATTTGAACTGTTCTAATTGTAAGTATAATACCGCGATAAATTCGCTCCGGAACATTGTTATCGTCGCGTTTAAAGAAGTACAAGCCGATAAATGACAAAGTTCATCGATTGTAGGGCACGAGTTATCTAACTAGCCGATTACACGCCTTCGACTAGCCAGCCTCTTTCTTCATTGCCATCATTTTTCTACGATCTTGGAAACGTCTTTCTCTTCGTTACGATGTTAACATCAACCCTTATTTTTCTTATTCTACAGTGATTCTAACTTCGAATATCAAGAGAGCGTGAAAGAATGTTAAAAACCTTGCTCGTTAGAAATTCATTAGAATTGATGAAATTAGAAGATCATTTTTACGAGCAACCTTCTACAAAGTAACTTGTTCAAGAGTATAGGCGTTAAGTATCACGAAACATCCTCCGCCCGGCAATTACACGATTTAATCGAGGAAAATTCGCGTCAATCATCCAGGATCGTGCGATAATCGACCCTGAGATAGAAGGCCATCGAAAATCGAGCGAATCCAACGTGCTTCACACTCTAGCTACTTTTTCATTAATAAAGACGCATTAGAGGGATGGTATCTTGTCACGGCCAATTAGAAACACGTTTCACGTGACTCCGCCTAACCGGTGGCGATCAATTGCGCCATTAATACGTCGCATCGATTATCGTTTCGCGGTTGAAACGCGTCTCGAACGGTCGATCAAAGTGGTCGATGAGAAAAGAAACGAGCGATCTCGGATTAAACGATCGAAATCATTGATTCTTTAAATTTTTTTCAACTTTCATAAGATTAATGTATTTTGCTGGAAAAATTCGAATGCGTACAATGAAGAAAGAGTTAAATGGCAACAACCTCGACGACGTTCGCGAAACCGCCGACTGGATTGACGTTATCGCCTCGGCTAATGTCCCGTATTAAGTGAAATCACGAGATCGTCGTTATTCCGATTATACTTATTTTCCCTTCCCCGTATCGAGATTCACCGGCTACGACGTCGGGAGAGATCCCCGTGGTGCCACTATCGCGTGCAACGAGCTGCCAAGAATCTTTTACCGTAACAAACTAGTTCCTCTGCTCCCAGTTATACGATACCCCTTGCTAATGTCGATTACTTTTCCGCGGGACTAGCTAATACCGTCGGCTCTCCCGGCTTTTCTACAATAAACCGTCGCAACCTTCCATTTACACCGCATTCCAACCATCTATCCATAGTAGATTGATCCTTAAGCGTGTTCGAATTGAAACAATTCGTTTAACACACTTAACAAACGCTGGTTACTTGAAATTTTAATACAGTGTCAAAATATCGAATAATTAATTTCAAGATACAATATAAATCAATTTTTTGTGCCTTAAAAATGATCCACCAAAGAGATTACTCGAAAGCTGTGAGATTGAATCCCGTTTTCGATATTGGTGTCAATATTCCAATTAAGCAAGTAATTAAAGCATCGGTTAAATTTACACGAATATATGTTAATCATGTTTTGGAGCTATTTAAGATACTCGAGGACATCGGGTATTGCGAAATCGCAGATTCTGTCTGATCTAGTAACTCGCAACGAAACAGCACCGATAACTCTTCAAATTGGGTTATCTGTTTGTTACGTTATACGTTGCTTTATTATTTTTTCTTCTTCTCTCGTCGTTTATCCAATTTCAAAGGGGAAGAAAGTACGAATTTGAACACCGTCACCGTGTCACGAAAATCAAACAGTCGACGAATCATTATTATTATCCGTCAATTACAGCCAATTGACCGTGGCGCGCGTTTCAAAGCGGAAACGTTTTCCGCGAATCGCCTGGGAACGCTTGATTCAGTCGCGCTTCTTACTTGACCTTCGCGACCAGCTTAACCCTTTGATTGCAACGGACGTATATATACGTCTGCTGATATACACAAACAGCGTGTGTAATCAAACGTCCATTGACATGTACTAAAGACGTATACGTACGCTTTAAAAATCGATAGAAAATCGATTGAAAATTGTCAACACGGTGTTGTTAGATTTCAAAGTATCGAGTAGACGCGGATATTAAATTTAGAATGTTTTTATTTGGAAAATTTCTGAATTCTAATGTATTATAATTTCAAACGCTTTTCCTTCTGCATCGTCTATGAAATAAATTTAAGCACCACATGTAACATCGAAGAATTCAGTTGAAGAAGTTAAAGAAACTGGAGGAGCTCTTTTCTTTTTTTATTTTTTTTCTTTGCTTTCCAGCAGTGTGCTCGAGGGCGAACACAACGAAATATTGGACACGTGATAAACATAACGCCGTTCCAAGACATGCGACATTACGTCACTCGGATGGGAAAAAAACGAAACTAGAGCAGAAAGTAAGTTGTTGAAGCGATTTCATTAGATTCCTGTCTCCCAGTCGGCAAGTAAAAATAGAAACGAGCTGAAAACAACTTTATCACTGGCATTCCCACGTCTGGAAGTGTTCGGGACCTGTCAAACGACTACCACTCGCAGCGTGAGAATTCGATCACGAATCTGCTTAATCGATTTTCCTTCACGATCGTTTCCGTTGCTGGAATACCAACACGTTCGTACTAAAATTAAAAAGATTAATCGTCTTTGGTATTTTAATCACTCTTATGATCACTGTTATACGGTCGAGATGACTTGGCATAAAATGAAAACGAAAATGAAAATGAAAGTAAAGAAAGTAACGAAAGTGAAATTAAAGAAAAATAAGTTTCCCTCGATCGCCGTGAAATAAAAATAAAATGTAAAATGTGAACATTGGACGGCTGATTATCCTCGAATTCCAAGCATACCGCGGCCTATCTTTTCCGATCACATGCCACGAAAATTACTGTCTCGTGCTCATCGCCGTGGTCTCGATCTCGATCTCGATCTCGATCTCGAGGCACAGATCGGCCCGTTTCACGGTACACGGATGTTCGATAAATCGATATACTCACCCAAGAGGTGGTACTGATTGCAGAGTATTGTCCAGATCTTGGGACGGGCTGGTGGTGTAACGTTGTCCCGTTGCCGTGATTCCTCGGGGAACGATCACCAGCAAACACGTCGCGAGAAACAACACTTGGTTCGGCATTTTCACGGCCGGTATCATCGATTCGTGCGACAAACTGTTCGAACACGATCTAGTTACTCGTTGCCTCGTATCACACTCATGATTCTAGATCACTCTTTACTTATGAACACTATCGAACGATTCAACGGTGCTTCGCGATCAACACCACCATCGGATCCTCGATCATGGTTCTTGATCGACCGAACGATGGGTAATCTGACACGCGAGGAATTCTGCAACGAACGAGAAAAGAGAGATCTTCTTCTGGTTCAGGGTGGCAAGAAATTGAGACTAGAAGGGCTTTTCAGTGAAGCTTCGATAGAGGTTGGTGTATTATATTACACTCGAAAGTGATTAAAATTACCTTAATTATCTCTAAATAGTATGCGGAACGATGAAAAAAAAATGCGAGTAGTTCTATTTCTTTTCCTAAGATTGAATATAATACATTTCTAAAATAACGTTTTATTTTCGATTATTTCAACGTGGCAAGAATTTCGCCACGTCAAACGAGTGGAAAGACAACGGGGTGATAATTGCGATTCCGAGCTGGCTATGACGCCTTTCCGGAAGCGCCAAATTAGTACGATGAGATAGATGGAACTATCTTCTGATATAAATATTCACAATAGCTGCTCCTCCGCCATGACGGAGGCCAGTCAGGAACTATGAAATTAATTTTTCAACTCTTTTATCATTTTTAGCAACTATCATTCTAATTTTCTTTATCTGAACATTCTTTTTGCTGATTTCATTATCTATCTCGAAAGGAATTCAATTCTTTTGACAAAAAGATCTGAAGAAGCTATATTTCTTTTGTATTAAAATTCATTTTCTCTCTTTTTAAATCTGAAGTCCAAGTTTTGGAAAAAGTTGTTCTTCGTAGGAAACAAAAATGATTTCTTTGGCAATTCGTCGTTCATCGATATACGCTCCGCTTTCACTCGTTATCATAACGCAAAAGCAAACCGAGCAGAGGCTATCATTAAAGCTTCCATAAAGTTGGTATATTCGTTAAAAACTCGTAGAAAAAGAGATCAGTTTTGTTCTATTACGACGATTTCTAATTGTCACATTTACGAGAGAAAAACAAGTGATCTGTTTGTGACTAATTAACCTACGGCTAATTAAGTGTTAACTTGTTATGACAACTTTACCTGTTCAGTAATGAACAAGCGTTTGAATTTTCTACAAATATTTCATTTTTCCATTTAAAAGAAACCAAACGTACCGTACCTCGGGGGCACCCTTAACGAAGCATCGCTCGACACCCTTCGAGTAACCGGCCCTAATTAGTCCATATTTAATCAGCCATACCTGTCAACGAAGGTAACATCACTCCACCACGATCCACCACTACTCCCGTACAATTTTACCAAACCAGATCTCATCCATGTGAACTCCAATGGTGTCCAATCACCATGCACCCTCCCGCGAGAAGAAAAATTCTACGCCCCTCAACGATTCACCCTATCCGACTGATAAATTGAAATTGAAACGATCAAACTTCACGATTGCTACGCGTATACCCTTCCGAAGAAGATTATCCAAGAAAAATGAAATGAAATGTTGTTCGGTTGAAACACGGCACGTTGTTCGACGAAGGGCGAAGAGGGAAGGAGCCCCGAAAAGATGCGCCTACGGGACTCGACGCGAGACTGGAGCAGCAGATTGTGGACGAGCCGCACCGAAAGAGAGCTCATCTGGAGAGAAGAGGCTCTCTCTTCTCTCGTCTTCCCGTCTCTCCTTCCCTCGTCGTTCTTCCCTCCCTTCTTTTCCAGCCCGTTTGCTCGCGGCCGTGTCCAGCTGACGAGCAAGAACGCCGCGCGAGAAGAAGAGCATCGATGGTCCCACCCCTTCCTTTTTCTCTTCTTCGATGCTGTCAACACGCTGCGCGTGTGTGGGACGCGTGTTGAGGCACGCGTGACGACTAGCTTCGGATACTTGCACGGGACATGGGTGGAAAACGCGGTTGTTTCGCCTTTAGAACCTGCAGTTACGATCTTTCTCTGAAAAGGGTGCGCCTAACCTTTCTACAACTAGCAATTAATAATTTTATTAAAATTATACGACCACCAAGTTATTATTTTGCATTATATTCATAGTGCATTGTTAATTACTTTCGCCTTTATTGCAAGCCATGAAACGAAACGCTCGTGTATGGAGTTTATCACGAAGCATGTTTCATTCTCTCCGTCCACAAAGAGGAAGCGTATTGTGCTACAAAATGCATATCACTCCGGAGTATTCCACACATCATTAGCGTGAAGAAGAAGGGGATTATGAGTCTCTGTAACACCATTAAGTCATTGTAATACAAAGAAAAAGGAAAGATAAGTTATGGTTAACAAAATAATAACAGACTTATTTTTTTATTTTCTTTTTTATTCGAATATGTATGTATATGCAATATTCAGAGCGTTTCAATTAAGGAAACTTTCGCAACAATGTGTAGCCGAGCGTTATCAAACGAGGCTGAAGCATCGATTGAGAAACGCAAACGACATTGGCCTCTGTGTTCTGGACTAATAATCGTGTTAAGAAGTCATCACTTCCGCTCGTTTCGATTAAAAATATCTATTGTCAGCTGGCAATATCGATCACGTTGCATTTTCAAGCAAGAAGATAAATTTGTTTATCCAAAGTAACTTAAAATTGATTGCTTGCAATGAGGAGTAATTCCTCGTGAATTGAAACAATATTATCTATGCGAAACTTTTCAAATCCAAATTGACAGATTTCATTTTCCATGCAGATACGGTCGTCAATGAAACAACGTAATTTCATCGTTTCCCTTTATTATCATTGCGTAATCATTCCATTCTAGTGAAGTCATTCAATTCTTTTCAACGAGACTTCCTTTTGTTAGCCGTTGAAGTCATGCGGGTGGCAATGATAACGAGCAGATGCAGAGCAAACCGAGTTTCCTTGACACGTTTACTTCGGCACCAAGTATATCACTTCCTTGTTTTTCATCGCGACTGTGTTTGTCCGTCGATCGTTTATTCTCGGGGAATAATTAGAAAAATTTTCTTGCAAACGCGCATTTGTAATTAAAGCAGTGATTTATGGTAGGCGTGTACGAGGCTTGAGACGGACCGCAAAGGAAAGAATAAAGCAGAGATGGGACAAAGGTAACGGGGACGCATAAATCGTGTTGTAACTTTTGTCGAGGCACTGCGGCTTCGAAAAATGCCCGATAAAAGGATCGTAAAATGCGATTTTCCGTAACATTTCGCGACGACGAAAATTGTCGGCCGATTGAAACGCGGCTTCCAAGGGAAATCGACGGATGATTAACGACGTTTGACCTGTTCTCTTTTTCATCGGTGGCGGTAGTAAAACGAGATACGAGCCACGGAACGAGTACAGGGAAGTTTTACTGCGGCGGCTTCATTTGCCGCGAGTTATGTTTTATATCGTAGCGCGCTCTCTAACGTGTTTCGCGAAAAAATAGAGTTGAATTTGTTGATCATTCAAAGTCCATCAGAAAAAATTCGAATCATTCGAATTTTTCGTCATCAAATTTTCATTTCAAATAGAAATTTGCACCGTCCTTTGCAAGCTCTCTATGTTAAAATTATTTTGCTTGCGAAAGAAGGTTGCTGGGAACTTCGCTACCTTCGAATGACAGGAAATACGGGATTTCAAACTGAAAGTCACGATGATGCGGAGTAATCTACACTTGAATTCTATTTTCTGCATCGGACATCTTGAAGACTCGAGTAAAATCCTTGTGATAAAAATGAAAACATAAAAGCGAACTTATTAATTGTGTTCGTCGGTTGAAAATCGAAAATACTTTCTGAAATCACGAACATCAGTAACCCATTTATCAATTCTTTTCGCTACTGACAACGAAATCAAGCATCTCCCTCGATCCAACAAAAATCCCCGAGGGAACTAATAATCAGCGTCACGAAAAACGTGCAAAAAGCAGTGGAAAAGCAGGCAAAAAGATCGACATCCATTACGCGAAGGATAAAATCGACCTGTTCACCGTCCCTCGTTCGCGCTCTACCCGTTCTTGCGCTTAACCTAGACCTCTTCCTCAGTTTCTCGGGCAGTTTTGTAATAATCTTGCTAGACGACGAGGACTGGTCCCAGGTGAAAAATGAACGGAACGGATCGGCGTACTTTTCTCTTCCCGTCGCGAGTGAATAGGTGGGCACATTAACACGTTCCTCGCTAACGACGCACACGGTGCGTCGTGTACAATCAACAGCTGACGCACCCGATGCGTTCTACATTAAATAATGCTCAACGCAACCATTGGCCATTCTCTACGATTCGTACTCGATAAAGTAAATGGAAATAAGGTTAAATTGTTAAAAAGTGACTTTAAAAATTCAAAAGTCTGCGTATGGGGACTTGGGTGCTGGAAATGTTCCTCGACCATAACGATGAAGAATTGGTTCCGCTTAAAAGCCCCGCATTGAATCATCGATCGTTATCGACTAATCCGATATTTCGCTGGAAGAGTGGTTCTACAGAGTTTCTTGACTGTAGAACCTCGTGGAATCTATTCCGAGGAATGTCGCTGTACCGGAATACGCGCCACGATTATTAAGGACAAGGTTCAGACGGTAATTAGAAACGTTTTTTGCCAGCTATTACGATAAACGTGATGTATGTAGTCGTTGGTGAATATTTCAGAGGGCTTTTTTTTTAGACAGGTTGGAAATGCTGCGGTGAAGTATCGGCCTTCGAGAGCGTAATTTCTACGAAGGGTTATTAATTAACAAATTAACGTTACATCAGAAATCTACAAACCTCAGCCACGATTATACTGAATTATTTTAATCACAGTTTCAGCTATTCGACGATTAATCAACTTACACTTCCATTAAAATCTACGAATTGCTAATTATTAACTTAAGTTTTCTTAGACTTCTTGCTCTTTCTACTGCTTGCTTTTTTACTAACTGGAATACGTTCTCTTTTCATATTACTGACATAAGAATTCCTTGCTTCGTGCGCTTCCTCCATCAAGATTTTATACTCCCAAAAGAGGTCTTTGTAATCGCTGAAGACCTGTTTGTATCTATCTTTGCGAGTCTGCAAAATGTCCTGCAAGTCCGCGACAAAATGGGCGTGATCTTCTTTTGCATAGATGATATTCATCACGCGACTGCTCCTCAACGTTTCCTCGTCCTGTTCCGTTCTGACCCACGGTATATCCTCTTCGTCTTCTTTCACTTCGTAGATGGTTAAATCCAACGGAGGAAGTCTTCGAAGAAACGAGGGTGGTTTCAAGGTTCTCGGCTCGTAATCGAGTAACGAAATCATTCTGCTATCCGTGATCGACGTTCGATGACACTTTGTCAGGGATTTCTCAGGGGTCGTTAAAGATCTTCTTTTCAACGATGCTAACGAATAATTGGATTTTATTTCATGCTTCTTCAAGAAAGCTGCTCTGAGTACTCTGCCTCGTGCTAAGCTGTCGGGATTCTCCTTCGCCCAATCCTCCTTCATCTGTGCTATTTCTTGTTCTTTCGTTCTGTCTTGAGATATCTGTTTAAAACAGAAAATACAAATTTTGGAATTTCCAATGAATTTCACGTTAATTAATCATCTATAAATCCATACTTCCAAGCCGCTACCAACATCGGTGACCACCTGCAGCACCCAGTAAGGTGGCTCTAGATTCTGACCATCCATCTGTTGCTTCGAACTTTTCTTCCCTTTCGCGAATTCAGACTTGATTAATTTGCTCACTTGCGAAACAGAAGACTGTTTCGATCTAATATCAGTCATCGCGGTGCCCTCCCTAATCTCCATTACAACAATCCACTCCGACTGCGTCAAAGGCCAACTATCGTCCAGTACCGTAGCCTGGACGTAATAAGTTTTATAATCCAACGATTCCCTGCTTCTACTTTCCATCGAATCCTCTTCGTTGTTGCGTCCATTTGGAAGCTTCTTATCGGCGTTATTCTCTATCTGATTGGATTCCTCGTCAAGTCCAAGATACACCATCGGCAGTATCACGACCGACGTACTCGTCACACGAGCAACTACGTTCCCTTGCTTATCGGTTACAGTAAATTTCATTCTCACGTTCTCGTAAGTCGTCTTCAATCTAAACGAGACGATACTAGGTTTGGCTACTCGAACGATCAGCTTTGAGATGTAATTTTGAGAATTGGGTACGTAATTGTTGGAGAACTCTTCGACCATCAGAATGGGTAGAGCAGTGGTCAAAGACAACGGGCTTTCCGTGTCCGTGGAGTAAAAAACGGGCTGCTGTTTCACGGTGATCACGTTCAAACTCCAAGGCAACTCTTTGAACGCGAATTCCTTGCTCCAACCGTAACAAACTATCGTATAGCCCAGCCTGGAATGCTGGTACCAGGTGGACACCACGTTGTTAACCACCCGTGACATTTCTCGACCGGTGTCGTTGTTGAATACCCGCACGCTGTACCTGGGCAAATCGACGAACATGTCAATCCCTGCCAATACTGTCTCCGTGACACGACAGTTCACCACCAGCCTCGGCATGGGTAACCATTGGTTCGGTTTCACGTTCGTCAGGACCCCTTTCACCTCCTGCACCTGCAACGTGTGCTCGCAGTCCTTGGAAAAAGGATAAGCATCGCTGAGCCTATCGTGATGCTTCAGTATGTTCCTCAGCAATTGATTGGCTAAAGATTCTCGCTTATCGTAATTGAAAAGTTCGACAATCTTCGAAAGATTGTCCAAGACCCTTTGATGTTGTTTATGCTGAGGATCGTGTATTTGTTTATACTTCCTGATGATCAGCATCTTGAAGAACGATTGAATAATAGTCGCAGCTTGGTCCTCCTCAAGCTTTTCTTTGTCAGAGTTGTCGTTGTTACTTTCAAAGGGGTCTTTGGATTCGTTTAGATCCTGAAGACTCTCTATTAACCTGGAGATCACGTTGAAACGTTCCAAACCAATTGTAGGATTCAGGAAGAATATCCTCAGGGATCTGAGCACGTCTGGAACTTGTTCATCGGTGAAGGCCTTTCTTATTAATTGTACCTTTTCATCTAAGAAATAGTCGTGTATCTGATCATAGAACAGTTTGTTTCTCTCCTCGGGATCTTGGATAGGTGGTAAGTAGCTTCTGTAGTAATTCTTCAAGGCTTCCTGGTACTTTTCAGTACCGAACGATTGATAAGCATTACTGACACAGTTGCTGATGTGCTTCGTTAAGTGATCGATCCTCTGAGATTCTCCGGACATCAATTGGTACATCTTTCTTCTGTCTCCAACGTGAAATATAGTGTCAGATGAAATTGTTATGAAACAATTCGATTCTGAACGACAGTACATTCGCAACAGGTGCCTTCCAGCATCCAATTCAATCACAACTGACTTGGTTCCAGCAGTCAACATGGACAACAAACGATTCGACTTCTCTGGTCTACGAAACCAGTTATGTTTCTCTAGGCTCAGATAATCCATATCCCCTGTTTGCATAGCTGGAGAATTTGTTTGGATATCATTTTCTTTCGGTGAGTTGACTACTTGAAACGTGGAAAAATCGATGAGGAAGAATTTCTCTTCCAGGGAATCAGTCAGAATATACAGTGGTTCGTTTCTGGTTCTCGACATTTTCTGAGGCCAATTGTATGTACCGATGACTTCTGGATCCTTGTACGTCGCTCTTGAAGGAGAACTCTTTCTGCTGTTCTTCTTCGTCTCCGATTTCTGTTCACTGGATTGATTGTTCTTAAAACGGTCTGAGAGTTTCACAGTGTACTGAAAGTAGTCTAACTTGTAAAAGAAATGGATGTCTCTGACGTGAGGTTCCATTTTGTTGAAGTCTGCCCAGAAACTTATCTCTTCTTCAGTTTCTTCCATAGAATTTTTCTCTGGTGGTTCTTTCGACGAGTTAATGAATTTCGATTGTTGATTAAGCTCGTTCTGAAGATTTTGTTCCATGTTTAAGTCGTTGTACTTGTTGATCACGCTTTCCTTGCATTTCTTCAGGGGGCTAACTACTTTTAGAGAACGAATGGGTACGAAGTACTCGGCTGGGTCGATTATACCCTCGTTGATGGCCCATCTTAGCCAACGATACAGTTTCCATCTTGCCAATGGAGGTTTCACCTAATCATATATTTCAATAATTTTAGTATAAAACTTAAAAATTTATTTAACAATTTTGTAATTTAACATACGTCTTTTGGATCCAAAGGGATGTCACGAGACTGTTCGACGTAGATAAAATGGCCCCAGCAGGGGGATAATCCAGGCACAACTTCCAAAGGCACTTCCCTCATGTCTTCCAAACCCAGAAATAAAGTCACTGGTTGAGGTTTGCTTAACGCTTTCAATTTCCGAGCCTGTCCCGATTTTTTCGTCCCCTCGGTGTCCTTTGACTTTTTCGACCGCTCAGTGTCCTTAGATTTTTTGCTTCGACTCGTGTCCTTAGATTTTTTACTTCGACCCGTATCCTTCGACTTTTTTGAACGCACCGTATCCTTCGACCTCTTTCCTTTCTTATTTACTTCAGCAGCTTCTATTTACAAAGCGTCGAAATGTATCGTAGAAGATTGAAGAATAAGAAAAACGAAACTGACCTTGATTCTCTTGTTCCGGGGTTTCCGCCTGCCATTCGAAATGGTCAGCGTACTTCCTCAGGAAGTCCCATTTGTCTTGGGGAGACAGATACGCGATGTCTAAGCGCAAACAAACCCATCCTGGATTAAACATAGGAGGATGAATAACAGAAGCACTAGCCTTGCCATACGAGGTTTCGTTTTTACCAGTTAAGCAAGTGACCGGATGAAAATCGACGATTTCACGGTGCTCGGTCCATGTTAGAGAGGCCAGTTTTAATAGTGCCTTTGAAAGAAGCATAGGCCATAGTTCGAAATCGTTAGAAGTACGAAGTAGAAGTGGTATCCCTTCTGTATTTACTGGTATCGTGTCATCTACCTCAACGTAACGCCAGCATCCCAAAAAATACACCCTTATCACGTATTTCCCTTTAAAAATTAATAATATTCATGGGATTCTTGAAATTTTATCCCACCAATTATAAGTAATGACCCCTTAATGAACTGATCGCTGACAATCAGATGAAATTAATCTAAACGTGGAATACACACCATTTAGATTTACACCAGGCTTATGCTGCACCCCTTTACCAGCTTTGTTCATTGAATACACGTTCATCCAACCACGCCAGGATTGGTACCGCCCATTCCAAATGAAATTGCTGTTCTCGCCACTTATTTCCAATCCATTCCGTCCGCAGTGCTCGAGATTTATTAGCGCGGAAACGAACCATCGCGCGAACTGAAAGTTGTTTCTAATTGAACCGCGTTCAATTGCCAACGAACGAACCTTCTTAATCAACAAGGAGTCCGTGGCAACAATTGTTCTCGCAACGGATCAATTTGTGAATTGGATTAATTATTTCTAGATCGGTTCCATTTTTTAAATGCTAGACTTTTGAAAAATGCATGAAATAGACGTTTTTATATTGTACGTACTTCACTGTGCAATAAATGTTTGTTGTTTGTGATTAGGTCCGAGTAGCCTGATCCGGGAACATACACCGTCAGCGGTTCCTAAATGATCATCAGTCATGGAAGTATTAAATTTTAATACTTTATTCATTTTCTGTTTAATGATATAAAAGAACCTACGATTAGATTTGGTAAATCCTTCGCCCTTATCCATTCATGAGGCACCAAGGATGGTGGTAATGGAACAGGCTGTGCGTCAAGAAACAAACTGTCCGGTCCGTCTACAAAATTATGTTATAAACTATATTTGAAATGAAAATTTTTATTCTTCTATAATGTTACTTTTAGAAGCTGTCCAGTTTTCCTTATTCAACGCCGCGTCAGACCATTCTGGCCATAAGAGTGCATCATCGTTAAATGAAAGCCTCAAGCTCTCAGGCTCCGTTACCTTTTTAGATCTTATGGACATGTTTGAAACTGTCTCTTATCGATTATACGCAATTGTCTTTTTTTTAATCAAAAATAATATAAACACACTTGAAAGAAAAGTAATACAGGTGGGAGGATAGGAAGGACTAAGAGAGATGTAAATAATTGAAGGCTACAAAAATTTATGGAAAAAGTATATATATTTATTGAATCTCTGTATTATACATAACTATATGAAAATGAGATGCGAATCTAAGTCAAGAAAAGACTGGATTAAAAAAAAATTACAATCCAAAGAAACTCGTTAGTACCTCCTAGTTCGCTAACGACCAGTATGGTCCGCGTTAAGAAATTAAAACTTACGTTAATGATATAGAATGTAGTAAAAATGTAACGTTCTACGAAAAAATAGCGTCATACGGATCTGTCGTTATATTATCAACTCGATAACAAATCAATAGTATATCTCTTTTGAACAACGACGACGATGAGAGATGAAGTTGTACGTTAAAATTTGAACGAAGTTTAACTTGTTTGTTACGTTCACATAGTTACACAGGTATTCCTCGATAACAAGAAAAATAATACTACGTTCGTACATTCAGAAGTTACAATTAGCTCTCATATCTTTTTTCTTTTCTCTCTTACTGTACGATACTAATATTCTTCCTTCAACAATATCCCTACAGCTATATAGTCGCTCGATCAGGCTCGGTTTTTATAGTCAGTTTCACAGTGAGTTATCAATTTTTTTCTTTTTTTCTTCTTTAGTATGTACATACATCTGAGTAGGCGTGAAACGCTTGTACATACATGTAGGTCGATAGAATTGCATTAACTTATTAAGGCAATTGATTCATTTACCATGTTTAGGGTGAAGATTGTTGACAGAAGCGTTTTATCGCGTATTTACAGACAAAACAACGCGAAGGATTAACAATAATTTAAGTTACTTATCGGATAGATACCATTTATAAGGTATAAATATATCATAAAATATTCAATGGAATGTTGAAATGCGTTTTTCTTGTTGAGTTTACTTGTTCTTTCTTTAACATTGTTTGGAACACAAGGAGATCAGGCGATTACAGTTACGCTATACTGTATCAAGTTGTAAGTATCTTGGGAATAATTAAGTTTGTGGATAAGTTCCAGCACTTAACAGTACCGGTATTTACTAGACAAATGTTAATTAGGTACTATTGGAATTAGATATACGAATGATCGATCCAGTCTATCCACAAATACTGCCTTAACATTCCGTTTACTCAGAATGCGCAAAGTACAACGAAAATTGATTACAACACTGCAATCAATTAAACTGGTAACGTTCGTTGTAAATTAATATAATTGTACGCGTTAATGATTCTGTTCAACATACGTTTATCATAACGTACAATACACATATAACAATTAACAAATTTCTTTTTTAATACTTGATGTTTGAGATTCTAACGTATCAATTATTTTTGGCACCAATTTCATCATGCTATCGGAAAAATAATCGACGACTAAACAAATTGTGCAAGATCGGATATGCAAGACATAACGCCAGGATTAATAAATCCTTACCATTCAATGTTCATGATATAATAATCCGTCAAAGTGTTTGCAATATTTCCATTCTCAACCTGGCAGTGTTTATAATATTTTTTTATATTTCTTTTCGAACCATTTTCTTTTGCCATTTTCTAACTGTTAATAAATATCGTATTTAAAAAACAATAATACAAAATTATTTTGTACCTAACGCCACGAAACATGTGTCTGTCGAATAACTTAGGCTCATATATTTGGCACCATGTCTTGGATATTCAAGCGAATAAGAAAAAATTTAAAAAAGAAAATGATGTACCCATCGTTGTTGTAAAGTATACAGTGGGGAATTGATACCAGTGGACGGTATGATAGTATACAATTTTTTTAGAATGTGAATCATACTAATGATTTCATAGACTGTGAGTGGAATGCACTAATCGAATACGGCGAACGCTTCGTAATTCATAAAACGAGCCGACGAAAAATCGCGTGGAAGAATAGCTGCAAAATATCAAACAGTTTCATTACCATAGAACTTGACACAACTGTACATATTAATGTTTTAACAAGTTTTTCCGGGTCCGGAGGCTCTTTGATCTTCCATTCGACCAGCTTGAAGTCTTTGTATTAAAGCAAATAGATCCTCCTCTGGAACCGTCGATCCTGCTTGAGTAGCTCCGTTTGATCTTTGGCTGTGTTCCTCTTCGGCGTCGTGTACCGTGGATGCGGCTGGTAAAGGACTACGCTGATCTTCTAGACGAGAACCCTAAAGAATTTGTTCAAATAATATAGCGTATTTAATAAAATAGTACATACAAGGTAAATGTAATACATACCTGGCATCTCACAAGCATTTCAATGAAAGAATCATCGGCATCTTGATTACTGTTTAGGCCTGGTAAGTAAGGCAGTGTCACTCGCTGTTCGTCCATCCTTTTACTTTGCATTCCAGCTATTAAATCTAGTAGATCTTCTCCGTCTCTAAAAATGAAAACGATAAATTACAATATGCAATATTAATGTACGGCATAATCTGGCATTAGGAATACATACTTCTCGTCGGAATCGCATACTTCAGGAGTAATAGTTCTAAATTTCTGGCTACGATTTGTGTTAAGCGCACAACGTTGGTCATCCATTCTACCAGATTGAAAACGAGACAGAAGATCGAAGAAACTATCTTCTTCTTTTTGAGTAAGTTGCGGGGTTACATTATTACTTTTATCGATTTGAGATTCAGCTTGTTCTTTCAATTTTGTATCTGGTGTAAGCTAAGCACAAATAATAATTGTTATTAAACTATAAAGTCGAATGCTAATTAATTGCACAAGATAATCAAGTTACCTTAATGAGATCCAAATTATCCATACTTTGTCGTCTAAGTCTATATCTACAGGGTGAAGATATATTTATGTTTGAGCTTGTATTGGTCAAAAGTTTTTGTGCAATATTTTCTTTATTATTCTCCTGTTGCCCCTTTTCTAAACCCAGAATTTTTTGTAAATCATCAACATTCATTTGTGCAGTAGCTTGTCCCATTGGATCCTCAAGCTCTTTTGAAATATTTAAGTGTAGATTTGCATAATGCAATGCCTTTTCATGATTGCCCATTGCAGCATACGCATTGCCCAGAGACCAGCAAGCTCTGCCTTCACCTACTTGATCTTTAAGTTGTTGAGCTATTTCAAGATGCCTCAAATGGTATTCTATTGCAGTTGGATAGTCTCGAAGGAGAGTGTATGTGTTTCCTAGAGAATAGCATGCTTGTGCTTCTACTTCTCTATCTCCTAATTCTTGTGCAAGGACTAGAGTTCTCCTATGATACAATGGGGATTAATGTTTACTTACACAATAACTGATTGGTCAGAAAAGAAAGGTAATGAAGATACACACTTGTAATGTTGTGCAGCTTTCTCAAATTCACCAAGGAATATGTGTGAATTTCCCAAATTGCTATTTGCTCTTCTCTCAGCAGCTTTGTCACCAAACTCCTTGGCAATCTTTAATCTTTCATTATGATAATAAATTGCTTGTTGAAAATCTCCCAGTAGGTAAAATGTATTCCCTAGGTTTCCACAGGCTCTGCCTTGGGCAGCAGAGTCCTCCAATTCCTTCATCAACTCCAGGTTTTCTCTACAAAAAGAATTCATGGCATTTATGTACTCATCATGACCTATCTTCTAGCTTTGAAAACTTAATGTTTTTATCTTCTTACTCATAATAGCGAACAGCTTGTTGCAAACATTGTCTAACATCCTCAGAGAATTCTCCAGGATCTTGATGACCTACTCTACCAGCTTGTTTTCCTTTAGCATGATAAACATTTCCTAAATTGTACAAAGCCCTTCCTTCACTGAGCTGTGTAATAAAATGACTTATATAAATAACTGGATAATTGAAGGAAGTTGAAATAGTTCAATAGTCTTGCACACACCTTATCTCCAATTTCTCTAGAGATCTCCAAGTGTCTTTTGCAACATATCATAGCCTCATCAAACTTTCCCATAACTTTTAATGTATTTCCCAAGTTTCCACTGGACTTAGCTTCTCCTAACTTATCTCCCATATTACGTGCAAGACTTAAATCCAGTTTATGGTATTGCATTGCTTTTACATAATCTCCAAGATAAAAATATGCATTCCCTAGTTGGCTATAAATTGCACTTAATATCCTTAAGTCATCTGTGCCTGCTTGAATTGCAGCTTGAAAGAATGCCACACCAGATTTGCAATCTCCAGCCTTACAAAGGCGCTCACCCTCCAGTGCCAATTCAAGGCACATGTTCCACCTTTCACTATTCTGTCAAACATAACAAGTTTTTCCATCACATGCTTACCCATTGTTAATTCATATTATGTATTTGATGGTTTAAGATACATGAGAATCTTGTAATAGAATGATACAGGAAACAATTACAAAATAATTAATACATGATTACAATATGCTTCACTGAAAAAAATGTAGGAAGGCTAATGGAATGATCATGGGAGTGGCTGGATATGAAACTATAATAAACTAATTACATACAAGTGATCATAATATCATTTTACATTCTATTTTGCCATTGGTATAAAATGAGTAATATATTTATCGAAAATAAACGCTTCATTAAAAATAAACGTACATATCAATTAATAGATATATAAACATGTATGGTAGGCTAAATGAAAAAGCGCATGTAGTGTGTGATATTCTTTATTTCCGCTTCAATGTAACTTTTATTATGTACAGAAAGAGTTACAAATAAATGGTAACAAAAAATGAACCGAATGATTTGCGAATTAAAGTATTAATCGTACAGAGTAATGATGATCAGAGGACTGGTATGAGTCACGCATGGAAAAGTGTAGTAATTAATATGGTTCACTTACTTGCCCTTCCGACGATAAATTTTCCGCGCTCGCACTCAGAGACATCGTGTTCCTTTTCTTTTTCGTTCCCCTTGCAAATTAACAATCGATCCTTGCGACTTTTACGAGCATAAATAACGCGAATCTTTACGTATACGGTTGGCGATTATTTGGGTTGCAATAATAACTTGACTTGCACAATCTTTTATGCATCGTGATTCAAAAGTTTCTCGTCCGGCAATTTATTTTCTCACAGCATCATCTCCGCGTGCTTTTTACGAAGAATACCCGCGTCGCTTTTCCCTCCAACCTCACACTCGCCGCACTTTCTCAATGTAACTGATGAACAATTCCAGCGTCCAAACAAATGGCGCTCGATGCACTTTACTTGCATAACGTTCATTCAACAGTGACTACAGATCCAAAAGAGACTCGCCTTGCCTTTATTCTGAAGGTGATATCGGGGGTCCTAGACACCCCCAGGTAAAGATACGTGCTGCATGAGCACGTTTGGCAACCCTTTACAGAAAATGGCGGTTTAAGTCAGCAGAAGGGACGGTGTCCACGCCACAGGGGGATTAAACATACACATGCCCTTATTTTATTTTCTGCTTTGTTTTGCTGTATTTATCTTCTTAGCTTACTGAATAAACGCATTAGCAGAATGAACGTGTTGATTTCATTACTCCTGTGTGCCCCGCCTACTATCTTATCCCTTTATTCATTACCTTACCCCTATTCGAAGGCCTTACAGGGCTCCTATATCTCCGCATCCCTTATATCCCTTAAACCTTTATAATAAATATATTATAAAAATTGGTTCGAGTAAAGGTAAGTAAAGGTAAGTAAAGTCTTGTGAGATCGCAACAATGTTGCAAAAATGCGAGGCCGGGGTTGCGCTTCGCAGCAATGTTGCAAACAACGTAAACGCCACTTGCAAAATCGCAGCATTGTTGCGAACGCACAACCGCGGCCTCACGTTTTGCAACATTGTTGGGCCCGCGGCGATCGCTTGCCTCACAGCGAAATTCGAATTCTATGAGGCACTTTCGCTATTCGTGCGCCACAAGGTTGCAAAACGTGGGGCCGGGATTGCGCGCCTAGCAACATTGCTGCGGCCTCACAAGATGCGAAAAATTCTGTGAGGCAAGTGCTCGCCGTGTACCCGAAAATCTTGCATAACGCGAGGCCGGGGTTACGCGTTTGCAGCATTGTTGCGACCTCGCGGGCGCGTCTTGCGATTTGCAACATTGTGGCGAACGCGCAATCGTGGCCTCACGTTTTGCAACATTGCTGGGTACGCGGCAGGCACCCGCCTCACAGCTAAATCCGAATTCTGTGAGGCACTTTCGCTTTTTGTGCGCCACAAGGTTGCAGAACGCGAGGCCGGGATTACGCGGTTGCAACAATGTTGCGAGGCTTTACTTACCTTTACTTACCTTTACTTACCTTTACTCACCTTTACTCGAACCAGGTTTTATAATGTGTTATTATATTTATAATGTTTTCATTATAAGAATTGCAGGAATATAATGGTTGCAGGAATGAAAGGGATACAGAGATAATGGGTGCAGGAATATAAAGAATTCAAGGATATAAGAAATACAGAGATATGAGGGATCCAGAAACTTAAGTGATATAGGGATGTAAAGAATGTTGGGATGTACGGGAAGAAGCGATGTAATGGTTGCGGGTTGAAAGGGGTACAGGAGCTGGTCAAACAGGCACGATTATACCGACTGTACTCTCTGCGTGCAGATCTAACTTCATCCAGGGGTATCCGGGACCCCTAAATAATGACCCTTTCGAGAACAGGCGTGTCCAGTCTTTTTGTATCTGTAGGCCACTGCTGCAAGAGTAGAGTTTGGTGTGTGGAGGGCTTGGTGTTCGATTGGTGAAATTTGACAGAACGTGAAAGCTGAAATGATTTTGCTTTCGTACATTTAATTGTTGGTGAATTAAGTCGGAAATAAATCGAGAAGAGTGAAACGAGCTAATTGAAATAAATATTCAGTGGTGAAGTGAAGGAAGGAACAACTCAACTTGGGAAGATTTCTCATTTCGAATGGATACACAACCTCTCTACTGAATGGTTTTCATCTCCTTGATTTGCTTTTTTGTAAAACTAAGATATTTAATAATAACTGTAGCTGTTCTTTGTTAACACGTATTTATAATTAACGCGTAGTTTAGTACATAAAAGGTATATTAGATTAATAATGAACGATGGTAAGAAGGTAGGTGAAAATTCCAGTAGTGAGGTTGTTAATCAATTTCGAAGCTGTAGGGATCTTAGCGATATCGTGCCTCTCTATATACCACGCGCACTTTATTTAAAACCAATTGCGAAAATAAATGTGTCCGTTAATCTTCCCCAATTAAAAGTTCCAGGTAAAATTCCTTAAAAAACCGTGATTATTTTGTTTTCCTCTGTATTGTTATTTTTCGGGAATGTTGTCAGTTTAATTCATTATCTTGTAAAATTTTATTAGCCATATGTATATATTCTTGAACTATCATTATTCAGTATTTAAACTATTGAGAATTCATCCCTATAACTTAATCCTCCGAGTTTTTCAGGCATGGTAGATATTGATAATAATAGTAATATTCATTTTTGTAACAGGGAATATATGCAGTTATGTTAAATTATGCGCAAATCTATAAATATATATAATATTTTTAGCATAGTAGGTTTTTACAGAAAATTAACTGCGATATAAACAGGAAAAACGATATCAACATGGGAAGTAATGGAGAAGATACGTGCCTTTATACTACCGGACGAGTTTGCATCTCTGAAGGTAGCGAAGAGTACGCTGGAATTTATCAGATTGGAAGGAGATTTACAAGACAGGTGCAGACTGCAGCGTGTACTAGCAAGATTGGATTCTCAGCGTTTGAATCTGTCCGGATTTCCGAATGTGTTAAAAGTCCGGGCAGCGGAGGCAAAGGATGACTTTCCCACCAGACATAGTTGGGATTCTTACTTCAGAGATGCCAAGCATATGAACGAATTGAAGCCTGGAGAAAGGCCTGACACTATTCATATGACAGGATTGCCTGTTAAATGGTTCATAGAGGATGGTGGAACACTCCCTAGCGAATCCTTGATCACTAAAATCTTTAAGAAATGGGGAACACTCAGAAGGATTGATGTACCTGCTGCTGATGCTTATAGATCTAGAATGCGTCTTGGCACAAATATTAACAAGTTTAGCTATGAGGATGGAATATTTTTTGATGCATACATTCAATATGTCGAATATATGGATTTTGTTAGAGCTATGGATGCTTTACGCGGGATGAAACTTCTTAAAAAAGAAGGAGAGAAAGCATTCACAGCTGCCATTAAGGTGTGTTTAATATGTGAGTTTGCTGCATGAATTGTGTAGATTGTAACTGTAACTTGTAATTGTTATAATAAAGAATATTATTCCCATTTTCGCTATTTCATCTAGATCGATTTTGATAAAACAAAACATATGAGCGATAGCTCTGTTGCTCACAGAGAATTCGAAAGAAAACGCCTTATAGCGCAGGATACATTAGCGGCAGAACGACTTCGTCGGAAAGAGGAAGCTGAAGAGAAGCGTCGCGAAGAACAAAAGTAATTAGAAGTAAAATATAGCAAAGAGTTGTGAACTTAACGCAAATTACATTGTATGCTTCTGTTTCTGTAGAAAGAAAGAAGAGGCTGATGCAGCAGCTAAAGAAATTAGACGACGAAAACGGGAAGAGAAAAGAAAACGTAAAGTTCTGACTAAATTTCGGAAAAAGGAAGAGGATAAAGTGTCTATGAAAATCGCGAGGGAGGGACAAAAATTAATAAAAGCACAAAGGCAACTCGAAAGTATTCGTCTTTTAGATGAATTATTTGATAGGATAAAGGTATAATTTAATGAAGCTCTGATTATTATAATCTACTGCTTTCTACTATGAAAATTAACCTGATATTCGTGTATATTATTTTAAGATAAAAGTAGAAAACAATGAAATTACAATAGAGGAAATATCGAATGCGGATTTAAAAAAGGATGAGAAGAAGAATAATAAAATAGATGATGGCACGGAGGCATTAAGTTCTGACGATAATTCGAAAGAAGGCAAGAAAGACAAGAAAGCGAAAAAATCGAAGAAGAAGAAGTCGAAAAAGGAGAAAAAGAAAAAGGTAGGAAGTTCTTTTTTCTTATATTTATACATTGTATTAACGAAATGTTTTCGCGTTTCTACAGAAAAAACGTAAAAAGGGAAAAGACTCTGAAAACACGGCAAGTCTGAGCGAAGATTCAGGTGCAGAGGAACAAGTGAAAAAATTAAAAAGCGTACTGAAACAGAATGTTGCATATCCATCCTCGTCTACAAGTAAGTATCACTAGCAGTAAGGACAAATATCAAATCATAAAATATATATGAACTAAATAATTTTAATGTTCCAGCTGCCACTTCTTTGGAACCTCTTTCTTACCCGACCCTTTATCCCCGATTTCCACAACCATGGTGTTACGAAGCAGCACTGCCTATGCTTTATCCTAGTTTTCCAAGAGGTATGCCCAGGGGTGGCCGTTTTCTGCGCGGAAGGGGTAGAGGATTTTCATGGCGTAACGCTGGAAATCCTCGCGCAGTACACACGTTTAATCCTCATCTATATAACGAGCAGTATTACAAGTACTTCGCTCATTTAGTAGGTCAGGATTATCATTCTTTCGACTACAGAAGTTCACGGTCGCGTAGCCGTAAGGGTTCGTTGAGTAGATCCAGGTCGAGAACAAGATCGAGGTCAAAATCGCGATCGAGGTCGAGATCCAAGTCCGGTTCAAGATCAAGATCCAGGTCGCCGAGTAAATCAAGATCGAAATCACGGTCGCGATCAAAGGTGCGAACCAAATCGAGATCGAGAAGCAAGAGACGTAGTAAAAGTAAAAGCAGATCACGATCATCTAGAAGAAGACGAGGCAGATCGAAAACGAGATCGAGATCTTCCTCGAGGGTAAGGTCTCGATCGCGTCGATCAAGGTCCAAGAAGAAATCTCGCTCGAGAAGTCGTTCTAAGGTCCGAAATAACATTAGGAGTCGCTACAGACGAAGAAGAGAAAGATCGATATCAAAAGTAAAGATCACCAGAGCTAAATCTCGCAGTACGTCGCCTAAGAGAAGATCTCGCAGCAGAACGTGGTCGATGCCAAAGTCTCCTGGAAGAAGAAGAAGAAGCTGTTCCTGGTCGAAAGGCGTTGACGCTGTTGATCGTAAAGCAGAGACTGACAAATCATTGCAGACGACAAAAGAAAAAACTGAGAACAAAGAAGCATCACAAGTATCTCATTTAGAGAACATAACTTCCGACTGACAAGAATTGATGACAATTCTTTCTTTTTTATGCCTCTGATCCCATCGCGTAAGAAGAACCGCGTCGTAAGAACTTGTACAAAGCTTGTAATCGTATTCATGCATACTAACATCTGTAGCATTTATTTCATATAGATATACCGTTAGAAGATATAGTTTTGTTCATGCCATTGTATTTTCCTTATTTCAAATGACAGTTTAGTCACGATAGGGTAATCATATGAGCAATTCATTGATCTCCGAAGCTTGTCGCATTAATTGATTTTGTATATACATTAAAGCAATCGACATTTAATAAATCAATTTATAACTATCTTGTTAAATTATTTATTGACCCAAATCTTATATATATAAAGCGCAAAGACGTCCGTTCGTATCACTTTTCAACTTGAGAATACTAGGGTTAGAGTTAGATAAGTGCGCAAAGAGAGTCACTGGGGTTCCTGATACCCCAAGATGAATTTGCCGGTGCGCAGAGTCACCGGGGTCCCTGACACCTCAAGATTATATTTTGTCGGTACGCAAAGTTGCCGGGGTTCCTGATACCCCAAGATGATATTTGGCGGTGCCCAGAGACAATCACCGGGGTCCCCGACACCCCAAGATGACATTTTGTCGCTTCGCAGGGAGAGTCACAGGGGTTCTTGATACCCCAAGATGATATTTGGCGGTGCGCAGAGACAGTCACCGGGGTCCCCGACACCCCAAGCTGATATTTTGTCGCTTCGCAGGGAGAGTCACTGGGGTTCTTGATACCCCAAGATGATATTTGGCGGTGCGCAGAGACAGTCACCGGGGTCCCCGACACCCCAAGATGACATTTTGTCGGTGCGCAATCACCGGGGTCCCCAACACCCCAAGATGATATTAGGTCGGTGCGTAAAGAGTCACCGGGGTCCCTGACACCCCAAATGATATCAGGTCGGTATAGACAGAGCGCCATCGATGCATCGGGGTCCCTGACACCCCGGATGCCATAATATCAATATGCAAAGAGCATAACCTGTGCTTCGGGGTCTCTAACACCCCAAGCCGTGGCCATTGCGCCATCTATATAAAAGCGGCGTAAACTATTCGTTAACTTACCGACTATCGAAGGTTCGATTACCGACTGTCAGAAGTTTGGTTGATAAGTCGGTAATTTATTGACTAGTTTCCGCTGGTTTTATATAGATGGCGCAGCGATCGAACTTTAATAATACTTAGTTTTAGGCGGTCTTTTCAAAATTTAAGTTTGTCAAATAATTATTCTAACAATTTTTCGTTCGTGTATATATATATACTGAAAGTTCATCTTACCGTTTAATATAATTATTCTTCAAGAGATCCTCCATTTACAAGGGTTCTGAAAAACAAATTCAAAATTAAAAACACCTTCAGGGTAAGTAAAAAGATACTCAGATCCGACTTGCAAATTTTATTTGTTTTCGGCATGAAAATGCATTGGTTCATAAACATTGTTAGTCATTATACCCCTATCCCTTCGTAAGGTTCGAAGATCGTTTTTTTTTTCTTTTTAGCAGCGCTCCTCGGAGATACACGCTACGATTAGAGATTTACTTATCAACTGGTGCTTCGCTTGATATTAATTCGCCTATGATTAACAAGGATCGAAATTCATCGGTTCACATCTTTTTTTACTTTATATTAGTGCCATGATTAGCACCGCCTCTGTTTACTCGACGTTCTTCTTAAACACGCATGTTTTTCTGTTTAAAAATATCTGCTCGTTTGTCTATCATTCTAATCGCTCAGGATAAGTCAATGGGGCCCTTTATACAATAACAATATAAATAGAAACAGAATATTCTTATAAGTTACTTAATAATACAATTTTATAATAAAAAGAAATGCACGGCGTTGTTTAGATTAAATAATTCAGGATTATTTCGATATTTCGGCAAATGAAAATTATTCTATACGATTCAGCCCTTTCGAATAAGACTTTCTTGTAAAATCGAATAAACAAAAGATTATTTCAATTCTTATCGACTCATCCTGTACATTCAGTACCGTCTTTACCTGTTGTTCCTGTCATCGCTTTCTTTCACACTGGTTTCTCAATTACCTTCTCTTCTTTTATTTATTTTTTTCATTTTAAATCGTAACTACCGCTACGGTATCTTCGGAATTGATTAGATATTGACTACTTTCAAGATTCGTTGCGTGGGAATTGTTTCATATTTATTTTCTTCTTAGTTTCTCCTCTCAAAATTGAATCGTCGCGCGACGATAGCGTTCGCGAACGCTCGCGAGATTCGCGATCATATCGCGAATTTATCGAGGGCAGGAACGAGATCTAGCTGGCGACGAAATTACAAACATTTTCATAGTTTTTTGGTCTTGCTTGACCGGCGACGAGTAGTAGAACGAACGCTATCGTCTGCGTTCATTGAATCGGTAACTGGAGGAACGAACTCCTTGTTTCACGATCGACTATCATTTAATATGCAACAAACTAATTCTTTGAAATTCTAAGTAAGGAACCGATTTCTAAGTTAATAATTACCAATTTCATTCTTTTATCGTGCCATTTCTTAAAACTGTTTCGTAGAAAGATTCGAATACACAGCATGTAACTCGATATTGTAGTTCGTTAGGTTAAATACTCGTCCATAAAATGGGTGCAAAAATCCGCTTGTTCCTCGAGTCACCGAGGCAATTCTCCTCGAAATCGCTCTGGATCATTCGCACGCTCACAGAGGTACCACCATATCGTTTGCATCAATCTCGTTTCATTCGTCACGGTGTACACTCTAATAGTGAATCGTCCATTTTCCAATGGTAAAGCCTCTAAAGTTTACTCAGTCGTTGATACTACGTACAAAAAAAAGAAGTCCCGTGAGATACAAGGGAGAATGAAATGCGGGGCAAACAAGTTCGAACGAAACAGCTTAAATTTGTAGAGTACAGCTGCGCGATCGATTAAGCTCAATCCTTTGACTGTTTTTTTTTTTCACAAAAATTCGATTTCACTGATAGTCGAATATTAAAAGATTTCCAGAATGATGTTCCTCCAACGAAAGAAGGGTATTTTGTTAGAAACTTTATTTATGTACGTACGTACGGTTCCCTATGTTTCTAGAAATTAAATAATTTTGCAGGGTGTTGGATTGAAAACAGTCAAAGGGTTAATTCTTTAACGCGATGAACGATATTATATTTGGCTACGAGGTTTACTGGCCCTTTCGAATATACTATTTACTATTATTTCTCTATTAAAAAGTTTCTATCTAGCTCTCTTCGATTTATCTTTTTTTTTTTTACAATCTTTTCATCTGTGTATGCGCATGTATGTACGTGTGTTTTTATTTCTGTTTCTTATAATAATTATGGAACAGTTCAATAGAAAATTAGCGAAGATACAAATTTCTCTGGGTTCCTTTGAAATTCGACCGGCACGTCGAGCGTTTGGGAAATGAACGACCCAAAAGTACAATTTTATTATTTTTTTTTTTCACTTTGAGCAAGCATCACATGCTTTTCATCATCGCCAGACATTGTTCAATATCATTGAAGTGCTAATGCGACACCCTGTGGGCTATTTCCTTCGTAATCTACACCTCTTTAGACGGGCTGTGTTACATTGAACGGACACACGGAAGTTGCAACCTCTTTCTATTGTAAAAATAGTTATTAAAGTTTTTGCGAATTAAAGGTTTAGTAATAAATTAAAGATGGAACTTTGATTTTAATTCTTTTGCACCGAGTGTCATTGAAACGGGTTGATTTATTATAAATTATTGAATCCGCACGTAAATTGTTAAATTTTAATGTAAATCTAATTCTATAATACTCATTACAATTGTTGCAAGTGAATTAGACAGAGAATTATATTAATGACATCACAAATTTCAGTAGTACGAGTCAATCACTTGTCAGGCATCTCTGTATCACCGAATTTTGACACTGTAGGAACGTGATATTTGATAATGATTGCAATCACCTTTTAAAATAATGATAAATAAAATTTCAGGATTGATGTATCACTGTTAAATCGTTCGTTTCCGATGACAGCCGATAGAATCCTTCTTTCTTATGAAATAAATGTCGCAGCAAAAATTTCAGTGATACGAGTCAATCATTTGTCAGACGCCCCCCTCTGAAACAGATTTTAATCACTAAATTTTGGAACACGATGTTCAATAACCCTCTAAAATAATAATAAATGAAATTTTATCACTGTTAAATCATTTATCTTCGTTGCAACTTCCGCGTCTTCCTTCAAAACTTACTAACAGAGAAGATAGATAGATAGAGAGAAAGAGAGAGCTCGTTAAAAAAGACTGTTTCCCCCTTAACACGTGGTCGACTAGATCATCCTATGTAGATTAATAGGTAGTACTTTACTTTAGTAATTTTTTGGTCATTTTACGTAACAAGTTACACGGCGACAGCCCGCTAGGTAATATTGGTAAAGATCTTAATAAAGTGTCTGAGAGTTAAAACCGTTTAAACGCTACCGTAACGTTATTCGTAATAATAGTAATGACGATGATGGTAATAATAATACGCGATAATAATAATAATCATTCGTAATAATGACAACAATAATAAACGATTAATACGTGGCAATAACATAGTAACGCTCGTATAAATCGCTCGGAAATATATTTTCCGGCATTAAATCGACTCCTTTCTTCTTCTTCATCATCTTTTTTTTTGTTGTTGTTACCTTTTACGCTGTTTCTCGTATAATTTACCACCGTTGCGCTCTTAAAGGAGGACCGATCGAACCGTTTGCGATCATTGAATGGCTCTTTCACGTCGTTTACCCACTTTCACGCTTCGCGTGTTTCTTTATTCTCCCTTAAAGCCTCCTCTTCTCTTTCAACATTTTACTCGAACGCAAATATTCGATCTGTCAGCCCATCGAATGGAAACTCGCGACATAAAGGAAGAAAGTATACGAGAGTCAACGTGGAAATAACGTGTCTCTGTTCGCTATGCTTATGTACAAAGATAGTTGGATTTAGCCTACGCGTTTCGGTTACGATTTTTCCTTTTCTTCTCCCTCTTGTTCAGCGTTTACAACGTGCCCTATTTTTTTTTTTGCGTAATAAATTTCAAATCTTTTTTTTTTATTTCACACTTGATATTTCTGTTTCGAGCCACGGACGCGTTCTCGTGACCGACAACGCTAAGAATCCCGCGAAATAAAGGCCGCTGCATCGTTGCGCGCTGCAACCTGTCGTAAACGATAGTTTTCTTGTTTCCTTGGAACAAGAAACCCGTTCCATTATGGCAATGGGTTGAACGTGACGCAATCGCACGCTGGTGTAACACAGGCTCGTTCGAAACGCGGTTGCACGTCGATCGATCGAAATATACTGCAAATGTTTCGTCTAAAAATCAATTCAAACTTGGCAAATCATTTCCCTTCCATTTCTAATTTTCAGAGCGATTTTACAGAGTCCTTTCTCACCACCTCTTGATGGAGTATTCGAATGGGTGGTTTAGGTATTTATTTGTAATGACTATTAAGATACTAATAAAATTACATGAAAAATACTTAGAAAAAAAGAAGAAATAATTGAACTAAAAAGACATTCTATGACATAGAACATTTTTCATTTATGGTGACTCGTTGAACACGTCCTCCTAATCGAGAGTGTTAAGGGCTGTAAACGAATATCCTCGCAAAACATTTGCATTGCTTGTATCGTCAACGTGCAAACTGAACGTCAAATGACCATTATTAACATTGTACATGAGAACGTTACGCAACAAAGGGGTAGGAGCACTCCCATTCTCAACAGCAGGGCGTCCGTGCACGCCGTTGTTCCCGTGTTTTCGAACCCATTGAGCGTACAAAATACCTATGTACACATATAAAGTACAACATTTAAACACACGCGAAACATTCGACGTGTTCGAAAACACAGTGACCGGACCGGCGTCGTTCGAACTCACCCCTGAACACAAAAGCGCCCCCCTTTGGATCCTTACAAGAGACGTGTATAAACTCTGCTCAAAACAAAGGCCATAATGCACGCTTCGATATAATATATATATATACACTATATACTATAATATCGGGTATATTACATAATATAGTATACACATATGTACAGGTATAAACATACAAATCAATCTCGGCATATTTATGATGGGACAGAGGATTCGTTCACCTGGAACCGTTCCATTTTTCTGAACAATAGGAATGAATAATTGTCAGCTAAGTGGTTGAACATTTTAGCAACTAAACGTTTGAAGGATTAATTCCTAACTGAATTGAAACAATGTTATTAGGCTTACAAATATTATTTGCAAATGGAAAAATGGCACTCCGTTAGGGGATTAATGTCGTTAATAGACAATATTGATAGCCGCGCTATTAGTAGGTATTTCTACTGATTTACCTACGTCGCGACGCGTCGTTCAGAATAATGGCAATACTTCAGACGAACGAATCGCAACGTCCCATGCACGCATACTGTATGATTCTTGATGGTATATGAACGCACGAAGGAGAGTCAATGAAGCAATTTCACTCGGGCAACCTACAGATCGCCAGTATAAGGTCCTTTCCGTGGGATATCACACTGTAAACCATCCCCTTTGTCCTGCTGATCCTTCAGCGTAAACGCGGATCGAACACCTTTCCTTTTATATACGTACATGTCTAGCTGCATCTGATGGAAAATCGATTTCCTTCAATTTTCTCTATCGTTCGATGTTTCGAAAGCTACTTTTACTTTAACATAATTATCGATTAAACGAGAAATCATGGAAACTTTGATCCAATTTAAACGAATCTTGTTTTCTTCTTTTTCTTTTAACTTTCCTCTCCACGATCGAACAGAATTCATTCTAATCGGGTTTCAATGTCTACGTAAGAGGCTAATTAATGACTCGAAGCAACAATGGTACCGATCAGTCCAATCGAAGCCACGCAAATCAAAATCATCGATTCAAATAACTGATGGTTAAAGATCATTTGGCTTCGAATCGTTTCTCATCCACGTTGAACATTTTTCATTTTTAAACCTTTTCGTGATCAACTCATCGTCAATGATCTGGCTACTCGTATTTATACTATATAATACTTATAGAATCGTCTCCTCTATCGCCTAAATGCATCGATATCGAGATACGTGTACATGTATGTTTGTGTGTAGTTTTTTTTTAATTATCTATTTCTTTTCTTTTTTTTTTTGTAACTTGGCGTGGTCTTCCTGGCACTATAATGCACTTTTAAGAAATCTATATAAAAATATCGTGTGGAGTTGTGTCCGGTATTTTGAGCCGCGACAGAAATAGGTAGAGATAGAGATAGTAAGAGAGACAATTAGAGGAAGAAAGAAATGGAAACGAAGAGCAAGTTATTAGGAGACAGAAAGAGGCAGCTAGAGAGAGTAGAGGATAGAAGACAGAAGGGGAATGAGAACATTGTGACAATTGTGTCTTTTTGTTTCTTTTTTTTTTTTCTTTGGTCCCGTTTCGCGTTTCGGAGTGGCCGCGAAACAACGCTTTCGAAATGAAACGATAAACGGACAAGACAAACCAGGTCCCAACATTTTCCGCCGGAAACGAACGTTCGATCATTTTTGAGGGCAGAAAAGTCTTCTGTCCACCCCTTCTGCTCGTATCTTCGATCCTGACTGTAGAGAAGTCTTCGGCTTTCTTCTCCGAGTCCTTTGTCTTGTTTCCTTTCATTGTCTTCACAGAGTGATGGCTCTTCGAGACGTGGTCGAATCTGCCCCCAAAAATCTCGATCTTCAGGTTCTCTTTTCCTGCGTGTCGATCGTGTGCAGTTTTATCGTTTTCTTTTTTTTTTTTTTTGGTGTGGTTGCTTTTATTTGTCTCCTTTCGCTTTTCTCTTAACGTTATCCTCGTTTCACGGGTCGTCGCTGAGCGTACGGCTCGCTTTTCGGAGCAGTGAACATCTTCCGGGATCAATTTCCGCACGACGAACGCGTGTCAGCGACTCGCAAAATTAATAAACAACGTGTTCACGATTAATTGTGACAGTATTTCTGAAAGGACACTAACGGAATTATTTCAAGAATTATTTTCAACATTTTTTTTCTAGCAATAATTATCATTAGAGAATGATTCGAATCTTTGAAATTTGTTAATTTATTCAACGATAGTCATACTTTAAAACGATTTCATTTAAATACATATTTTACCAGCTAATGTCCTTCCATCTGTCATGTATCTCTGTATTTTCGTGTACACGCGTGTATATATGTATATATGTGTTTGTATAGAACGTATATATCCGATCGCGTCGAAGAAACGAATCGTCACATGGGGTGACATGATTCATTCCGTCGATGCGACTCGTTTTCCCCCAATCACCTAGTGAACCTCAACGTTTACTATCAATTAACGTAATTAACTCGATTCGCTCGCGCGTACGTAACGCGTTATCCGGCACGTTTCCGTATCGAGACATCGATGTGCCGTGGATCGTGTTTGCTAACGGATGGGAACGTCACGCGACCGGAAACTCGATCATTTGCAAAGATTAATCCTCGCAAAACTAGGTTTCAAGATTTACATTTAAAACTATGCGACGTACAAAATAGCCTAATTTCTTGTACATCACTTTAAATAAAAAATTATGTTTGCAAATTTATTTTAGAAAATAATTGATCCAATTTTCTAATCAAAATTTTGTTCATTTTATGGAAGAGCCAAGAAAATTCATTTGATTGCGTAAACTGTGGTTAGAAGAGAGGAAACAAAGAAAAGATTTATTTATGAAATTAGATTGAAAAGACCTCGTATAGTTCTATGACGGTTAATCGCGATAGGCTTGAATCACGGTCGCGTGTGCTTCCTGCCAAACCGTACAGTTTTTACGACCACGAAGAATACGAACAAAGGGTTTCAGGACTGCCTCAGATGCTGCTCTTAACAGGAAGCGGTAAATTGAATATCCTGCTGAGGAAACGTGTCTCACAGAAGGATAAAATGAAGTGTCGTGGAAAAAATTGATGGAGAACTGAAGGTAAGTTTGTCGCGACTGAAATTTAAGGAAACTTTTTATGCGACATAACAATCTAGAGGTTTATCATTAATTTGGCTTTCAAAGTTTATAATCTTTGGAATTTTAAGGATGTTCCGTGGAGGATCGAAAAAAGCGGAAATATTCTATACGAAATTTATTATAGAAATTTATTATCTTCCAGTTTGAACAATTGAATACCAAATTTGTTCAAATCGGAATTGAAACTGTACCTATAGCTAATACAGGCTTGTATTAATTTTTATTTTTTTCAATATCAAAGTTTTTTCAAAGAAAATTCAATGCTATGATTTAGTTAACATAGTTTCCTATATTTTCACCCACCGCTTCCTGTTCGAGCTACTACATCACCCAGTCCTGTCGCGGATATTGAACGAAACATCGTTGACGAATTATTCCCCATTTATCTACTGTTATTTCGTTCGATTAAGCTTATCTCATAACAACAGCTTCGTACGTGTGCGTGCCGTTTGATCCAACCAATCGCGTAACACTGAATATTAATCTTCCAGGGGGGGAAAAAAATCATTGTACGCGAGAAACGATTCAAAGGAGATCATCCAACAACCGGCTCAGAATCCTTTTATGCTTCCTCTTTCATCTGGCTCCCTTTGGGATTTTTCGTAGAAACCGAATTCATTTCCATAATAAGAAACGTGGTATATTCCGAAACGACCTCGAAAGAAGTTCGTTCATATATGAAGACGCGTTCCTCGAGTGACCCAGGACCGACCTATATTTTAAGATTTCTAAGTGATCGCCAATATTTCATCCGCGCGAAAGTATTTCATCCTTAACAAGGAATATTTCCGAAATTTTCTAGTAAAAATTTTTGAAGACGCATTTTCGAAATTGCACGGTTGATTTTCTTGAAAGTAGAAGAAGTCGGGTCAGGGTCATAGGTAGATCGTTTTTCAATGAACGATCAAATTCGTAGGTAAGCACCGTTTGTGTTATCCATTACAAAAATAAATTCGTTCTCTGTTAACGAAACGCCAAAGAACTTTGACACGTTCCAGTGAACCTTACATGGTGCATCCCCTTTACGTCTATCTACAACATTTCGTTGGCAAGAAATTTTCGATAAAATCAATATTTACGAGTGGACCACACCGTGTGCACACGCGTACACTGTTGTGCTTAGACCGTTTATTAAATAAAAAAGAAAAACGAATTTCCTCCCCCGTCGGTGGAAACGTAGCCTTTGTACCCGTGCACCGTGTACATACACCTTGTATACGCTAACAATATAATATCCTATGTAACCTACGGACGTTAAAGCGGATAAGATCACTTTGCATTCTCTTTCCGTCAGCCCCGGGGATTGTTTCGTGGTCTCTTGGTGGCCCCTGAAGCTCGTCCAGCGTCACTTGACTCGGGGGTGTGAGGGGCGGCGATTCAATGTTCGTGTCGATTCATCTTTGTTTCTTTGATGCGATCTTGCCTGATGAAGTGTCTTCTGTGTGTTCGAACGATCGTTACCTGATAAACAATTTGCGATCACAAGGCGGAAAGAGTAAAAAAGAATAATGAACGATAAAATTTCATTTACCATCGATCGAGCTGATGCGACGTGTCGTTGATCGAACGATCGACAACGCGAAATTGCTTCGTGATCGCAATTTGTACACCGATATTCTGAATTCTCTCGGCGAAGAAATTCGGGAAGTGTGTAAAAATGATGTCACGTGTATCGAGGCTGAACAACGTAAAATTATAATGGATAATTCTAGGGTAATCGCGTGGCCAGAAGAGTACGCATTTAAAATATACCGCAGCCCGTTGCGCGCACGATTCGAAACGAAATTAAAATTCTTACCAAGGTACGCGACGTCTCGCAGGAAACGACTTAATCCTCTAGGAAACGCTTCCGGTGTGCGTTCGTCGTCAGTTCAAGAGCCACCGTTTTCTTCTCGCCGAGGCGAGACGTTCTCCGCGCGCATTGAATGCACACACAAGTGGTGCCTGTCCTTTTCATTTTTCTTTCTTTCTTGTTCACGAGGTATACAGCGATTAGATGGAGTTCGTGTGTGTGTGTGTGTGTGTGTGTGTCGAATATAATATTTAAATATTAAGAAAAAAGTTTTCAGGCACGCAAGTTGGGCAGGGGAGCAGCTCGCAGCGAGTGGAAGAGGACACTCGCGTCCCTTAGTCCCTCCCTTCGTTTCGCACGTTTCCGTGAATCTCCAACCGGGGATCGATCTCGTCCCCGAGCAAAGATTCTTCCTCTCGGCACGTGCGCGTCTTCCCTATCCCTTTTTATCCTTCTTCTCTTTCTCGTTTCGTTTAAATAAGAAGACACAGTCAATCGGGAAGAGGATTGGACCCGTTGTTTACGCAACTGCAGCAAGACTTTCGTTTGATCTGCGCTTAGAAAAGTAGGCGGCTTCTTCATCCCCGCGAATAATCGAAGGAAAACTCGAACCTTCAGGCAGTCTGTGCGTTTGTGTGTATGTGTTCTCTTTTCTTTTTCTTTTACATCGTTCTACTTCTTCGCCAGGAACGTATAATTCACCGTCAGGTCGACGTGAAAGCAGCACAAAACCGAACGACTCTATCCACTAGAGTCAACGAATTCACAGTACACCTGAACATGGACCTGAAGATACTTCCTATCCCCGAAAGAGAGAGACACACTGAGAGAGAGAGAGAGAGAGAGAGAGAGAGAAACGAGAGAAGGATTACAAGAGAGGTCGGATAAACGATCGTAGAGGAGGGACTTGAGGAGACGCGAGCGTCGTTGAGGTGACCGAACATCAACGGTTCGGTTCCCTTAATACGAATGCTGCGGCTGCAAAGACGAGACTCAGCTGTGTGCAGACGTGTCGGAGCCCTGACTGTTGCCCAGTCCTCCCATTCCGGGCTGCGAGGTGAGCCTGGTGGCCGACTGCGAGGTCGTGGTCGTGGCCACCGTGGAATGTGCCAGGCTGTGGTGCCTTCCGGTCTCTGGCACCAGGTGAGGCGTACGGCTCGAGACCGGTGGTAAGATCGAACTGGCCGGCCAAGGATGAAGGGACGCGGTGCTGGGTGCGCTTGGCACGCTCCTCGAGTGCGGCAGCGAGTTCGACAAGTTGGCCAGAGGATGATGAGCCGACACGGAGATGCCCATCGTCATACTGTTTACCATTGGCACACCGCCACCGCCGCCCCCACCGCCACCCCCGCCACCCCCGCCGCCACCGCCGCCGCTACCCGAAGACGCCATCGCGACCGCGGTGTCCGGGTGAAGGAAGTTGCGTCTCTGCTCCATCCTCTCGGCGTGCTGGGCCAGACACCTGGTCAACTCTTCCGGCAACAGCTCCAGCTGAGCCTGGAGACCGGTCAGTTTCTCTTCTAGGCCGATCAGCCGATCCTCCAGACCCACCAAACGTTCCTCCAGCCCGTCCTGACGCGTGCTCATGTCGGACACGATCTCGTACACTGTGTTCTGCGTCTGTGTGAAAAATAATTAGTCCTAGTTATGAGCCCGCCGAGGAGGCGACGCGAGTAGTACGGAACTACGAGTGGTCGGACGAGGGGAAAGGGATTGGTATAAGGTTGTACAGGCGGATATTTTCTCTGGAGTGAGGCAATGCGAGTGGAATAGGATCCTTCGTGTTCAGGCAAGTAGAGTAGGCCTGTATGTTGTCAGACAAGTGGCCTGGCCCTGTGTTTGGTCATATAAGTAGTATAGGCCTGTGTGCGGTCAGACAAGTAGTCTATGGACTGTAGTACAGGTGAGTGGAATAGGAGCGTATGTAGTAAGGCAAGTGGAGTAGGCCTGTGTGTTGTCAGACAAGTATCCTGGGTCTGTGTTTGGTTATGTAAGGGGTATAGGTCTGTATCTGGTCAGACAAGTATTCTATGGACAGTAGTATAGGTGGGTGGAATAGGGCCGTATGTTGTCAGACGAGTAGTGCTGGTCTGTAATTAGTCGGACAGGTAGAATAGGGATTTCATAGTCACCCAAGTAGAGTAATCAGTGATTAATGCTGTTTGGCGACTAGAAATCTTTGTACCAGTATAATAGTCCATTTTCAACGGTCGGATTAAACAAGACAAACCGGACGATTGAAGTTCCATTGAATTGAAGTTTCCGTGAATAGGTGTGACAATTGACGAACAATTCACTGGTATGGTCAGTGTTTCATCGCGGTCATCCAAAAAAAAGACAATATTTCTTCTGTGTCGAGAACGATCGATTCGCAAACGAAGAGCTTGTTCCCGACTATAAAGGACGTTTGACCGACACACGACAACGATGCTCCATCCACAAGGCGGATACGGAAGTTTAATTGGATTCAAAGTTACTTGCGTGCTGGTACCTTGGCCATATCTGTGATGGTGTTGGCATTGTCCATTAATTTTCGCTGATCCATTTTCACTTTCCTGAGCCTGAAAGTTCGTATTACGGATGAGGTTGTTAATTATCCCCGGTGCACAGGTGTCAATCAGAAGTCGCCTATTGACTTACGCGTAAATAGCCAATAAAAACTTCCGTTGATGCGTTCGAACACGACCCGGATTGACACGCTTCACCAGCCTAGTGTGCTTGTAAATTAGCCACGTCTCGCGCAACACGTTCGCCGCTGCGTTTTTCAACTGAAATATAACGTCTCGTTAATTAGAATCTACACCTTTTCGTATTCTCAGCTTGACAACTACACTTGTCTCCCTTTTTCTCAAATTTACACCAATCGAAGATTTTCATTAATTTGTTCAATTTCAATTAACAGATTAACGCTGCCTCTTCGTTCATCACCATTCTAAAGTATTTGCATATTTTATAAAATTCAAGAATTAAAGAAAATTAGAAATATTCAAAAAATTTTCCCTCGCCTTCGAGTGGCAATAAAGCATCGTGAAATGGTTCAATTACAAGCATGTCAAAAGAAAGCGTGTCCATCCTGATAAAGTGAAAGCAACATATGTTCACGTACTTTGAGTACTTATAGAACAGCTGGAAGATACTGTGAACTTTTTCCTGAATGCCAGCAATCCTTTATCCCTAGCTATTTCCGAGCTTTATACATATCACAGGCTATTAATTAATTCAAAAGCCGAAGCGTTCGATCTAGAAGTAGAGACTGGACGGCTGTCGTTCACATGCCGTTTGTCCACTGAAACAAGTTAGATATGAATAGTTCATATCTAAGAAAATAGTCTCGATGAAAAATTTCACAATGACATGAACGACATCATATGCAAAGTTAATCAATAAATTATTAAATCATGAACCATTCGCTTATTATAATAATTTACTACATAATCGTATTATCTACGATAAAAATTGTTATTTTATCCATTTTAAGGAATAACAAATTGATCCCATAAAAAGAATTTCATATTTAGCGTTCTCAAATAACGTTGAGCGACTGGTCTATCGTTTCTTCCCTTCATTTTTTGAGTTTTTTTTTTATTCCCCATCGGTGGAAGGTCGATGCAGTCTTTGTCTCTTAAAATGCGATTCTCTTGTTCGAGCAGCGACTATCGATCGCCACGCTTGGACCATCGGCGACAGAGAAAAATGATAATGACATATTGGACGAGCTAATTTTATAACGTGCTCTAAATCATCGAACGTCGAATTAGATGTTAGAAAAATTTCAAAAGTTACGCTATTCACACCCTTATTATCTTCTCTATAATTTTGAAGGGTTAACTTTTGTTAATTGATACATGTTTTTCATATTTTTCTATCAGTATCAATAACGATAGAGGCAGCGAATCGTGCACACTAGTTCACACCGTGACAAACGCGTCTTACCCTTTTCGTTAATTGTGTATCCATCATGAAGTTGTGAACGTGTTTCTCCGCTCTCGTTAACTCCAGCTTCCTGGAAACAACCGCTACCAACAAGGCTGTGCATCCGGCTCCCTAAAAGCACCATCAAACGTGCCTGTGAACTCAAAACAGCTTCAAATCGTATACTAATTATTATTATTAACACATCAGAAAAAAGAAAGACGTCGAGTTAATTCTTCATTGGAGTCACGTGAAGGTATCGTTGAAAAGTAAACTCTCTTCGAGCTTCAATGTCTCAAAGCGAACAAAATTACGTGTACCGTTAGCTTTTTCGTAAACTAACGTCAGACTCGTACTTTCATTGAGTTTATTTTCGCCAGGTTTCTAAGCATCACCGAACCTTTTTCAGCTCGTTAAAAGAAATTCTTGTTCGCCTTCGTACGATAACGAATTCCAGTCGCGAGCAGAGGGTAACTTTCGACTCAATTATAGACAAATTTCTTCTTTCCAAGTGACTGCTGACTGAAATTATATTCACTTTGGTCTACTCGTTCGGTCTCCCTTTTCTAACTGACACGTAATCTCCTTTTCTTCAATGGATTTCATCTCAAATGTCACGAGTAATACTTGCGAACCACGAGGAAAATCAACCGGATTTATCAAATTTCATGTTTTTCATTCGCTTAAACAAATAGCCTCTGTTACGAACTCGCGGTCATTAGCTCAAATTACTTCGAGTCATAAACTCCGTCGTTAATTAATAACGCAAACTAAAGATTGACAGCTAGTGAAAGATTGTGTAATTAACGAGACTGTTTGCGTTAAGAAATTGACCAATCAACGATGTCTTTCTCAAGTTTCCAAGCTCGGTTTCAAAACTTTCCCCGGGCAAAACGAAGACCGTCAACTTTTCAGTATACATCAATTAGGCTAGTTCTTCCTACACCGTTTCTGCCAAGGTTTTAGATTAACTTTCTACGCTTCGTTGATCCCTGTTCATAAATTTACCTTGAAACCATCCGTGAATATATTCGACTTTATTTGACACCGGGACCATCGTTAAAACGACAGCTTAACACCTTTATTGGTATAAGGCTGGTTCTTTCTTTCATCAAAAACAATTTAATAACGTTTTATATGCGGCGTGTGACCATTTTTTGGAGTAATAAACATAAAATGAAATTAACGGTTACTGTTCGGGATAGTATAAGATTGAACGGCAAAAGGTAGCGGGAATCTCTGAAAACACTTAATAAAGCTCGCTTTCGACGTGGCGTCTGTACGGGAATGGGCATGCAAATCTCGCGAGAATTTCCATATTAAACTTCGGGTCTGGCCTTACCATTATTCCAGTGGAAACTGCTATACCTCGACCGCAGTACGTGTTGGGTACGATGTCACCGAAACCGACGCTCAGAAACGTGATAGCTATGAGCCACATAGCATTAAGGAGATTCGCGTGCTCCTCGTCGTGAAACCTGCAGCCACACCAGAGAAAACAGGGTTGAAATATTGAAGAACCTTCGACCAGAATATTTGATTACACCCTCGGTCAATTTCCCCCGAATCTGAATTTCTTAATTATCCAGCATACTATCCCAATTATAAACCGAGATTCTTCGTGTATATTAATGAGATTCGATATCAGTCTTCTCCTTCGTTACCTTTTGGCCAACGCGTCTGACCAGGTATCGTCTTATACTACTTACAAGTTTCTCCCTGTACTCTTCTCGATATTTTTCTTAATCGCTACAAATATAAAAAGTGCCTCAGGTAAAAATTGTCAAAATGATCTTTACAGAGCTTTTTTATGTTTTCAAAAGCTTTTAAAATTTTTTCAAACAAATGCACCACATATTTTACACCGTAACACTCTGCGGAGTGTCAGACAAATTTATATTTCATGAAAAACACCGAATAACAGGCAAACACCTGTATTTAAATATAATCCAGTGACGTTAAAACACACTGAAATTCCCGGGATGAGATGAAAAGTGTTATGAATGAATATTTTTCTAAAAATATAAAACGATATCTGGAAAATTTCGAACGATCAACACCACTCGAGTTCTGACATGATAATGACGTCGCTTCGAATCTCGATCTCTCGTTCGTTATAAATAGGTGCACAAGTAAACGAGAGCTTTTTTCTACCTCATCGAGTCGACGAAATTCATTATCGGAAATCGTTAAACCGGTGGAACATCAAAATAACACGCGCAGACTGATCCAACTTGTTAAACCGTCCTGTTCTAATGGAACAGCTAATATTACAACGGATTCCTTTTACACAGAGATTTATTTTACCGCCGGTGAACTTCGTCGAAGATCGACTACGTCAATCAATTTAAACAGTTTCGTTAATCTGGATTTAAAGTGAACAAAATTGTGCAAATGTTGCACCGATTTTCGTTACTCCGGTAAATCAAAAATGTAATAACATCAATGGATATGGTTACAATACCAAAATAAGTGTTTTCTAGCAATATTAGCCTGTACGATTTTGTTGATCTCCTGAAATCCCCTTGGCAATTCAAAATTATCTGTTGCAATTCACAGTTACGCGTTCTCTTCTCTTATCTTGACGATTCTGTCGGCTTAGCCACGGCCGTGCTGTTAAACGCAATTAAAATTAATTTCGCTCGTTCCGCTTTATCAATTGCCGCACCTTTTTTAATTACGCGACGGCATTAAGCCATTTAATTGTGTTACACGGCGCAGAGTTTCCTTATGAAACTCCAAAAGTGCGATACCATTTCGGAATAATTGAAACGATGAAGGGAAGACGAGGAATCGCGGATGAAATCGTCGATGGACGGCAAGAAAAGAGAAGAAACTTGGCATAAAGAAACGAATCTTGCCACTTTTTGTATTTCGTTGTAATTACTATCGCTTGAAATTAGGATTCTTTCAAACAGACACGAATTGTTTTCAATTGTTAAAAATTCATATCATTTCGAATCTTCTTCTTATTTTTATCTTTCTTGAAAAATAGGACAAGATCCGATCTTCGGCATCGTGTGCAACCGATCGCGACGTGCACGGGCCGACGAAGATTCGAGCAAGCTTTTATCCGAACAAGAGCGAACGGAGTTCCGTGAACGTCTTGTTTAAGGGAAAAAGACCGGAAGAGGTCCATTCATTGAGGAGAGGAAGAGAAGAGGTCGAACGAAGGTTTTATCGAGGCCGTGAGAGGAAAGCAAAAGAAAGGTTCTCGAGAATCTGTACTTGCTTGAGCGTAACAACGACCAACTTCTCTACACGGTGTCATAAGAAGAACATAGTTCAAGACACCCTAAACTGAATCAGTGCTGTACTCTAATACTGTTTTATGTAAAAAAATTTCAAAGAATCGGTGTAAATAAAAAAATCTTGCAATTAGCCCTGTATAGATTTTATCACCAATACCTTTTGAATGCTATTCAACCTATCAACTATTGAACCCTTTCTCTTTTGACATCCATTATACAAGAAGATTGATCGTTCCTGTGCCCTCTATAGATTTCCTAAATCGACCGCGTTATTTACGGAGAATTTAATTATACGTGGTTCGAGCAATCTCGGCCCCGTAGTAAATCCTTCATTGCCATCTTAACTACGCGCCAGCCCCCTTGTCCGATACGAAGATTTACACCCTTGTCCCGCAACCGTCCTATTCTCGACGCTGTTAACGGGCTCAGGATCTTAGGGCGGCACACCTCAGATCCCCGGATCTCGGATTTTCGGGTGCTTAGAAAGCTGTTAGTCACGATCCTCGACTGATCTGAGGATGATTTTAAGAGGGCGAAGGAAAAAAGAAAACGAATGACGATGACAAGGACGATGATGATGGAAATTCGAAACTTTTTTCCATAGGATTTAATGAAATTTAATAAAGCTTACCTCTCACACTGGCGTAACGTCCACGAAGCGATGATCCACAGGGAGACCATGAAGACGAGCAACACGGTACCCGGGCAAATGGTCATCAGAGTCTTCAGGACGAATCTGGTGTTGAAGTTAATACGATTCAAGGCCCCTATGCTGCGCGACGAGGCGTCGGTGAACAGCTTCGAATGGAGCAGCATAACGCGACAGATGAGGTAGAGTCTGAAGAACATCGGTAGCGAGAGGGTGACGTCGTACGGCACCCATTTCGACCCGAAATCACCACCCTTGTTCGCCAGTTTGGTCGTCCACAGGAAGTAGTATTCCCCCGGGATCGGGTGGACCGCACAGATTACTAATTCGAGGGAAATCTGAGCGATCCTCTGCCAGGTCATCGCGATCCTCCAATCGTCCGCGCAGTTATCGATCATGAACAACTGTCGACAAAAATTCAACGTTAAAAAAAGAACATTATCGGATTTGTAATATTTATTTATCAAACGCAAAACTATAAATAAATCATAAATCTTCGTTTAGAACGATCAGTTTATTACTCCTCCACCTTAAGAATAACCCAACACCACGAGTTCACGAACTCGTAAAAGCGTTCTGTAAATGAAAACCAGCCTCTGCAACTACCATTCGCCGAGGCCGTAAATATTTATAGAGGGAACTCGTTATTACTGTCATTATACTTCGCTAAGTTTCATTTTCGCAACTCGTTCACCGGCTATTATCAAGTTTCGAAAGTGCATTATATCGGCGCGGCTAATCACGAACTCGCTGCTATAGGTAATAACCTTCCGGTATCGTAGTCTTTCGTTAATTTCATTAAAGTTATTTCACACACGGCTATTCCAAGTGTAATTTTGAAAATATGATACATAATTATCGTAAAACGCGGTGCATTAAATCGCGAACTCGTTTCACTGTCTGTTCTGGCTCGTATCGATAAAACGAATTATAGCAGCCCCGAAGAGATCCTGGAAGAAGTTACAAGAGCATCGACCAAGGCTTCACCCTCGATACGAACTGTCTTACACTTTACTGTCAATTTGTAGCGTACCACTGCAGCATCAACGTGGAAAAATATCTCGAACCTTCCCTGTTTTATATTTCACCCTGCTGTATAATTTCTTATAATTGCTTCCGTGCCCGAATAAAATGTGCGCTTTAATGTGTCTTCTGCTTTTAAAGAAATTGAAAAGGTTGATTTCATAATTTTTTACAATAAAAACTTCTACCCAGGAAGTTTGATCAAAAAATTTTCCAATCCTTTAATTTCGAGCATAAAAAGTACTACTTGAAACGGTGCTATTATTTCAAGTACGTTTTTGAAGTATTGAAGCTACCATCTCTATTTTAACGTCTTCGATGATCAATACTATCACTCGAAGAACTTTGTCGAGCTTCAGCTTCGTGAAGTGGAAGTTTGAAGGATTTCGTCGCGCTTCAACTTCTCCAAGTGGAAGGGAACAAAGAAAAGAAGATGATCGATACGAAAACGTCAGGGACTTTATAATCGTTTGAATTGTATTTTCGAAAAATTAACCCAGGATTTTCTGGGATTCTCGTACGAGTTCTAAATAATATTTCAGAAATTTCTAAACTTTTCCGTACCGCTTTCCACTAATCCGCTAATAACGAGGGAAAAGCCGGCCAGTGAAGCGGACTGGCACCAATCGAAAATCAATAAATCTGCCATGCTTCCGAACGGGACAACGATGCATCAACGTTTGGAATTCTGTCGGGGTTGGGGGATTGCTACGTCGATCAACGCACCCCTCGAGATACAACCCTTTCGTTTCGCGGGCCAGTCAGGTGATCCCGACGAATCTGCGCATGCAAATCGTTGATAAACGACAATCAACAGGTGTTGAAAGGTCAACGGGCCATTAGGCTGGTATCCAAGCGTCGTCGACGACGACACTGTGAAACCTGTGCTCGCGGATCTCCTCGTTTCTCTTCTCGTTCGTTTGCCAGAGGACTCGTACACTCTCAACTTCTGTTAGGTAAACGTTCGTCGAGAGCCGGTTAATTCGATGGGAATGTGTGCGTAAGTCGAATCGCGTGATTCGTTTCCATTTCACCTACATTCCGCTTCGAAACTTATAGGACGCTTATCATTTTATAATAAACAGGCTGAGATTATATTACGAAAGTTTTTCATATTTCCATTTGCATAATTGACATCTACCCTTGAGAAATTTAATCTTAAACGCTTTCTCCTCTATCTAATAAAATAAATAAGGAACTTTTGAAAGCTGGTCAAGAATTTCTACAAATATTATATTAAACGTTAGATTTGCTCTCCTTCTCGAGTGTCATCGAAAACGTACCTCTCGGCCAACTTATTACACTGTCATCTCAGGTAACATATTTTTCGATGCGCTCGATGGTAACGGGGAATGGAGAAATATTTCTTCGTGACAGACGCCGTCTCGAATATCGATCAAAAATATCGAGAACGGGGTCGACGCGGTATTGCATCAAAATCGATCAAAGTGAGCACTGTCATTTTTCAACAGTGGAACGAGACAATAGTTTCGTTAATAGAATTCCAAGCAACACGAACCACTTTAATTCTGATACCACTGAAAGCAGTTTACCTTGGTTCATTTTCTAGAAATGAAAAAGAAAAGTGTCCTGAAAAGTGAAACCGTTCATGGTCCATCTTCTGACGGTTAAAACCATAAAGATTAACTTATCGTTAGTAAATTATTTATGAAATACGATTATGATAATTTGTGATAATGAGATACAATTTTCCGGTCGCAACTCATTACTATTTATTACTATTCATTACACGGTAATTGGGTTTAACTGTTTATCCCGATTACACACGATTCCGAATGTAGAGATATCATCAACCCGTGACTCCATAATTTGCCCTTTATAATCAGCGAACAATACTACACAAACGGCAATATTAAACATTGCACAGTAGCAGGAAATAGCAGTTTCCTGAACATCGATATCCTCTCATTGTCCGCATACAATATACATGTAATAGCTAATCAATTTTACAACAGAGGAATTATTACCCAAAGATACCAGAGATTTGATCTGGTTCATTCCGATTCTCCTTTGTCCTTTATTAACGATTAATAGGAAACGAAGTCAAGGATGAATTCATCGGTGATTTCTTTGATGTAGAACCTTGTGTCCTTGGTCGAAAACTGGACACGACAGAAACACCGTTCTAAAAGTGATCGTCGAAATTAGAACCGACCGGGATTACAACGCGGACCACGTTCCCGGTTTTCCTTATGAATATACACCGTTTCTGGATAACCGGAGCCGTTTAGACGACCACGAACAAATCGGCTTTCCCGTACACGTGCCACGTTAAACATTCCGACGTCTTTCGCCGAGGATTACTGTCGTAGATCTGAACGACCATCCGAGTGTTACGTTTAATTAAACGGAGAACACTTAACCGCGATCCTCCGAGTACTCTTTGTTGTCTACATACGACTAAAGCCGGCTATCGGAAAGCTGTTTCGTGCTTCCCATTCGTTTCATTCCCTTTTGCTTTTGTTCTTTGGTTGTTAGAGTGTTCTACTTTCTATCAATAGGGTCATTCACCGTGTCATTGTAACAGATTCGGATTTTTTAAGAACGAAACTTTGTAACTTCGACGAATTGCGTGTTAGTTCATTCTTGCGCCGATAATTCGTACGAGGAGCTTCGGGACTGAATAATCGAAGCGAAGTGTTTCTCAAATCGTCTGAATTATGTAGAAGACAATCGGAAGCGTGTCACGGTCATTCAATCAATTCCACTTCGAATTACTCGATATCGTTCCCCCTCGAAAAAATACCTTTCGGACGTAAGATGATTACATAAAATCCAGACAACAGTAAAATACTGTAGAATCAATGATTGAAAAAGGATCTGAATATTAATTACTGGATTTGTAATTCCAAAATAATATCTTATCGATTATAAACTCTGAATTTCATTGGAGAAGGAATTAAACTTAAAGACGAAGGTACATCGAACAAGTACGTCCCATGAGATTATCGTGATCTTCGAGGAATCGCGTGCCGTGGATCCATTAAAATTTGTAATACCGGTGATAGTTTACAGTTTACAACGCTCGTTTCCGAGGGATTAGCCGTTGTTACGCCGGTTCAAGAACGGGTTACGTAGCTAGTCACGGATCGCGGTTTATGACCGATGCTTATGTAAACTCGGCGAGCCGAACGTTCTGTTGGGAACGTGCCCTACGGAAGCATGCAAGCTGAGACCGTCGAGTATTGCAGAAACTCGATTGTTTTGCGGCAGTTTGAGAAATTCGCTTTCTTTGACGTTTCATCGATATCAATTAACGCGTTGATTGCGACGGGCTCACCGTATCTTGCATCCCTTCGAGTTTTGCATAATTATATCATTTCCATAAACCTCGGTCAGCTTTTCATAAATTTGCTGTTACGATTTATCGTTCCTTTTAAGAGCAAAATTTCACGATATCTGGAAACGAACGAGCGATCGTTCCTTGGATTATGATTGTGTAGAAAACTGGGACAAGAAAAGCCTACGAGGACATTTGCTGATAAGCGATGATCGATATGCAAATTATCGTGTTCCTGAACGCGCGTACCCAACAGCGTAATGTTAAAGAAAAAGCAGCATAAAGAAGCGATATATTGGCTGCTTTACATCGTCATTTTAGGACATCTTCAGGCTGTGTTTACGACAAGTTCATGTAGTAGTAAAGGCATGATTATTTGTTGTAACTCCCAGTACGCACTTGATGTAACAAGACTTCAAATCCTAAGTGTATATTCAAAGGAAAGGAAAGACTTGTTATGGGTACAGTAAAGTATTAAACGTCTTCCCTATTTGTGTTCCTCTCATTCTGAAACGACATCGACATCGACAGTCGCTCGTAAACGACGTAATCGATAAATTTACGTGCATCGCGAAAGCGATTCTTTGAAAGTAAAGAGTCGCTCGGTGTCCATAGGAACGCAAATGATTTTTCGAATGTCGATGAACCACCCTTTTTCCGTAGAACATGAATATTCTAACAGCGGTAGTGTTCTTATCGCAGAGAGGAGTTTCTCGTAATCCCCTTGAAAATTGAACGAAAAAATTGAATCTAGTTTCCAATCTTTAAACAATTACCAGTTGTCGACGTAAGGAGCACTCGGCACAGAAGAAGAAAAAACACGTAGAATCACTTCTTTGCAGAAAAATGTTTTTACGCTCCTCGGTTCAAGATGCTAATCCCGGTGTCTCGTAAACTTTCTTGCCTAGACCCATTCAGTGCATGGGATTAAATAAAGCGGAGTTCGCGCGTATCTCTGCCCCTTTCCTCTTTCTCGTTCCTTAGAAAGCGTATTTCCCCAACAAGGATTCGCGGACTGCATTATTCGCGATCCTTTTTGCGAATCCGAGTCCCGCTTCTGCTCTGATATACGTAGCTTTTTCTGTCAAGATTTACGGAAAACGTCCCGCGCCCGTAAACCAACTTATTCTATAAAATTACGGTGAAATTCGGTTCGCCACGGAATGAATCAATTTTCTCGGTACTGAATGTAATAAATTTAAAGCAGTTCGATCTAACAAACGAATTTCCACGAACAACACGAATTTCTAGAAAACAATAGACGTAGAAATATCCTGACATATTGTAGAGAATTGAATTAACAATATTGTAATGGAAGCATGGAAATACTTGTACGTATAATTAGTTAATAAGTTGATAAGTCTAAATAAAATCTATGAAACGAGTTTAAGGTCTTAATTATATCATAACATTTATGTGTAATGTAACATCTTCATTGAAATCATCTGAAATTAGATTCGTCTCTTCGTTTAATCATTCTTCTTCTGCTTTTTATATTACACCCTATGAATAAATCATGAGGGAGAAGCTAATAGACAAAAAGTGATCAATATTCAGTATTTCAACAACATATCCACGGTTTCTTCTAATGTTTTATCAGGAATCTATCTGGAAGATTTATCGATTGCTTATATTACGTTTTTGGAGGAAGGAAAATAGAGGAGCGTTTGTTTTAATAACCGAAGCAAGTTTCCAAGGAAACTGCTCCTCCCTTTACGTTCGAAATCCCTCTTAATAAGTTAGCCACGGATAAAGGGATGTCGGATGCGTGTTACCTCACTTGGGCAGTTTCCGCTTGGCACATTTGAGAGCCAACTCAAATATTGATACCAAAGAAAGATGTTCGTTCGAGCGGTTCTCAAACTCGAAACGTCGGAGTCGTGTTTGCACGAGCTAACAGGCCGTTCTTGATTTCAAACTTTGATTTACCATCGGACGGTTGCGCATCCTGTTGCGAGCAAATACTATCGATCTATAAATCGTTCTCGTTTCTTTTTCATCGTTTCCCTCGAAACGTTGTTGGATTTATTATTGAACAAGAAACATTAGCGGTAAATGAGTTTACTATGGTGTATCGGGTAAATAACAGAAGAGGGTCGAGGTATGGTGTATACGTAATTAAATGTTATAAATTCTCTAATTAAGGGTAATGAAGTTTTTAACGCGAGTGTGTTATGGTATTATGGCGTTTATACGAAGCTTGTTACCGTGGAAATAGGACGCATACGGTTTCTCGAATGTCCTAATTAATCCTGTTAATTTTCGAAACTTCCAAGTGGATGTTATAATAACAGTGATATGGATATTAAAACTTGGGTATATGAAAATTGTTTTGGTGTTTGGGAGCTTAGAAATTTGAGAACTTAGCAGTTTGGAAACTTTGAAATTTGGGAACTTAGATACATAGAAACTTAGGTATTAGAAAGCTTAGAAATTTAGTAAACTTTGAACTTGGGAACTTAGACATTTAGAAACTTAGGTATTTGGGAACTTAGATACTTAGAAATGTAGGTAATTGGGAGCTTAGAAATTTTTAAACGTTGACCTTGGTAACTTGAACATTTAGAAACTTAGATATTTGAGAGATTAGATACTTAGAAACTTTGATATTTGGGAGCTAAGAATTTGGAAGCTTTGAAGTTGGGAAGCTGGATATTCAGAGACTAAGGTACTTAAGAACTTAGAAACTTGAATGTTAAGAAATTAAAAAGCTTAGAAATCTAATCAATTAGAAATGTAGAAACCTCGAAGTTTCGAAACGATCGAAATGCTGATAATTTAGAATTACCAGAGATCGAAATTAGAATATAATTGCTACAATCCATAATTTTGGCTTGACAGTGAGTGTTAATCGCGTTTCGTCAGGATCGTCGATCAATGTAGGAGCTTAATTACACCGTAAGCGAATCCTACACAAGTGGTATCGTTTGACCAGCGATTCTCTGCTCGAGATATTTGACTCTCGTTCCGGCTCTAATGCAATTCATTCAGCTTGATATATGGTCCGGAGATTATCCCGATGGGAATTCGAAGAAACCGTCCCGTTATCGCTGTTGCAGCCCGAGCACGGATCCTCCCGTCTGACTTATGACGGTTCATACTACTGTGGATGAATCTACCAACGTACCGACCGGACCATTCGTGGTCCTATCATCAATTACGCTCTTCCATCGACCTGATACCTAGATAACGGGGGTAAATCGGTTTCGTTGGACAAATCAGATATCCGCTAGCAGCACTCTGTCACGTACTATACAAATGAGTTGGTAATTAATTCCTCTTATGAGAGAATCTTCACAGTTGTATGCTTAGCTACTGTGTCATGCTTAGAAGCGGCGAGAGTTTGTATTTTCAAGAAGATGGACGATGTTTGAGGAAACTAAAAGGATCTTTTACCAGGGAACAATATATTCAGAATTACTTGAGATGTAACTTTTCGGTTGTTCATAGTGCAACTATTAATTTCTATTTAATTTAGGACACTGTGTATCTCTTTTCATGAAATTACTTTTTAAATACAAATTTTCAAAGAAGAGAATAATTTAGAAATACATTCGCTTTTTTCTATTTATGATGAGAGCTATTCACTTCACCGTGGTTCGAACAAAACCAGCCATCTTTTTTCGAAAGATTCGCTTTCACCGTTGGTCCATTGTTAGCGTTCCCAGTGGCTGATCACATTTGTCAGCCACAGAACAGACGCAGCTTCGTGGAAACCGTGTCGTTTTCGCGGTATTATGCAGTGGGTGTGCAACAGGGCACGGTAACGCAATTAGAACGCGCCGCGCCGCTCGCCATCGGTCCGTCATCGCGAACAATTCGCAATTTTCTCGCTGGTAGGGTGGCAATCGAATTACCGTACAATGCGATACGAAATTCAGGGACGCGAAACGCTCTGGTTGTCACGATTATGCTGCTCGTAATCGCGACATCAACGAGCATACCTAGCGAAATTCGCCAGCCGGTGACCGGCTTTCTTTCGACCATCAGACAGCCGAATCATGGATCTAAATCTAAATTCACGGTTGATCGAATTATTGATACGGCAATTGGTTCCGTTCGTTCGTCAGAACATCGAATCTCTATTCCCCGCGAATATCGATTCTTTTGCAACATTTCGACGTTGCTTCTCCTCGTGATTTTATTAATTATTATATCGTATAGAATCACTGTACTTGAAAATAGTAATCAACCTCATCGATGATACCACTGAATCGATTAAGTCAATCTAACTCCGAAATTCGTCGGATAACAGCTTTTCGGAAGCTCGTTAAATCACTAGAGCCAGTGCCGTTCGTTCATTTGCGTTCGGGGAATTAAAATAAAATTGCCTTCATGAAAATTCAAGCGACGCTTAACGGTGGGTGAGGTAGAGATTTTAACGAGCAATTTACGCGTATTGTAATAAATGCGGATCGTTTTACTACGGGGCCAGAGATATCGGACAATGTCGATTGTAATGAGGTCGTGCCTATTTAACGACGAAATTCATGTATCTCTGACTTTTGTTTCCGCAATTTCGGTATTGAAATTTTAATAAAGTAGAAAATTAAATATCGTATATGAATTTTCATCTGTCGAGATTTCGATATTTCGATGGCTGTCTGATCGACACGAAACATGAAAGGAAATCCGAGCCCGTGACGGGTACTCGTTAGATCGTCACTTACTTACAGGCCCGACAAATTATCCTGCTCACAATTCATTATTCACCGATCTCCCGTTAGTAGGGTATCACTTTTGTGCCGGCGTAACTTCACGGTCATTAATCAGATCTAATCAAGTGGTGGCGGAAAGTAACGGGAAACCGGTGAAATTAGTTTTCAATTACTCGATTAATCATCATTAGATATTCATTAAGGGGACGGTTCTAAGCATAATGTACGCTTAATAGGCGAGTCAATTCAACACAGGGAGAGAGAAAGAAGGGTTTGAAAAGAGGAAGGTAAAATAGGTGAGAACAGAGTTCAGAATTGTTCAAGTAATCTTCTGATACGTATTTTGAATAGAATGAAAATATTAAAATATTGTGTCAGAAGATTATTTAAAATAATCTAAACAATTATTTAGAATAATACAAACTGTGGTACGATTTGGTCGCCGTAACAAAGATCTTTCAGATGAAAATTCATTACTATTAGGTAAAGAATATATTTTTTGTAATAAATTAAATTTAATTTGAACGTTTTAATTTTAAAATAATTTTAGTCAAATCCCAAAAGAAAAAAGGAAGCAAAAATTAAATTTAAAAGAGTTACTAACTTTCCAAATCTTTCCATGACGTTTGAGCCACCCTGTGTTTCATTCATTCAATTGAGACTTCCCTATTGCCCGAAAGTACTATGTTCCGCTGAAATGAAACCTTGTAGCTAGAGATACACGGGTGCAAATGCCACAGGTTTATATCGTGCACTTTTCTCATGCTCGTACCATGGAATTTTTCCACGGGAAATTGTTTACATGCACGCTACAAGGACTTTGTATTGAGCCTATTGGAGTCTTTTCTTTTTTTATACGCACCTGAACTTCTAAGGCATGGTAAGCAAATATGAGGCCAAGCAGTATCACAGTAGACACAGAGATCAGGGTTTTCAGTGCTGTCGAGTAAAACGAGGCCTGCAACAAATAAAACGTCGTCCTCGTAAATCCCAGTTCCGTCATGGTACATCGTTTTTATTCTACGAGCGTCGAAATTTCCCTGCTCCCTATATTATACGAAGAGAAAACCACAGGAAAGAAAGAATATATTCACGGATATGCTTCTTTCTTTAAACTGCACAATTGTGTTCTAAAAATTCATCATTCCGCCAACTGAATCGAGACATGGTATTTAAAGTTAAATATCTTCATTTCGAAATGGGCAAAAGGTAATTATAAATTTCAAATTGAAACTGCGAAAAAATAATTCGAATCATTCGTTCGAAAGAACGAACACGCTGGTCGTTATAAAAGCGTTCTTTTAGTTTTCATAAAAGTTCCTAATGAGTCCACCGACCAACGAATTATTTAAAAAATTGTTTCTAACGTGTTAACACGATCGATACGCGGCACGTGAATAATTAAAATTGTGCTCGCGCGTTTGATGATGCAGCAACGATGGCCGTAATTTGAAAACACAGTAAAAATGGTATTTCTTACTAAAAAATTCATATCGTCACGTAGAAACGGACGGGCGACGATTAATCTTTCTGAATGTATTCAATTTTCACATTTTATCTGGGTATTAGTATCGTAAGATAAACAGCGCAACGCTTCAAATAATAATTCTGAATAGAATGATTGTGAACGAAGGAGATTTCACGATAGAAATGATTTGAAAAATTGAGACAATTGAAACTGCACCGAATGAACTTCTGTAGTAAAGTGTCACGATTACCACTTGTCCGAAACGAGTAAGGACAGTGCTCTGTTAAAATTCTCCCGAGTGCATTCCCTCTAAAAGACTAATTAAGACCGCGACGAAGAAAAAGGATGCACACTCGTAGATGCAGGATAATGAAAGATAGAGATGGTTGCCTAAGGACACTTATTGCCGGCTCGTAAAAGTCGAACGGGAGTCACGCTTTTACCGGTCACATTAAATCGTCTTGACCGCGTTTTCGAAGCTCGTAAAGTGGAGCTGACACTCCAACTATATCCACGGGAAAATAAAATATCACTGCCCCGTGTCCTTTGCTTTCTTTCGCGTCATTTCGTTAAAGGATCTTCGAGGATTACGAGTCTAGAAAGAACACTTTTATATCCTTTCCTTTCATGACTACTCGTATTATAAACATACAAATTATCCAATTTCCTCGATCACAGAAAATTTATTGGTGGTTCAAGAAAGCGGAAGTTCCAAAAGGGACACACGTCGAGGATTGTTAAACCTTGGATGAAGAGTCCTCGAATCGCTCGAAGCTCTTTGAGCAATGAATATTCTCTATGTAATTAATTGGCCAACATCGAACCGAAGTTATTTCTTAAACGAGTTTAAGTTCATTTCTTGCTGCTATTTGGATACATTGAAAAATGATTATAATCCTTCATTGCAGAGATCAGCGATATTAATGTTCTAATTTCACTGTTCAACAAGTAGTAGGTACTAGCATTTAGTGGCCAGTTTCCGGTTTCGTGGTAACGAATCTGTGGTTTTCATAATGGTCGCTAGTCGGTTAATTAATTACATGTAAGAGGAATATAAATTATCCACAAGAGGGTTGTGTAAAGCGTGCATTTCGGCTTCCTACGATCGGTGCTATTGGGATTCGAATTTAATTGAAATATCGCTTGCTGAATGAAGCTTGGTTGATGATCGATTCAATTATGGCAATCTTAATGATTCTCGCTTCTCTTTAAACGCTTCGAAGAAGGAGGAACACCTTGTCGTTGTGCAGTACGACGACAAGAGGAATCACTTGCAAAGGCAGAGGCGACAGTTTTGGACGACGACCAAAAGGGTTCTCGTTCGTCTCGTTGACAATACCGCGAGACGTAATCCGGTACGTGCAGAAATCCGCTTCTCGAATGAACCAGCGAGCGGGGATTATTGATTTCAAATGAAATACAAGCCGGGGAAATGGAAGCTTTGTCGCTTGATAACTGCTTTCGCCGCGACTGTATTGTCGACGAACGGGGAATTATTTTTCAGTGAAACGCTTCGATTTCGGCTGACGTTGTAAGGAAACGCGAGGTCAGCGTATTTCGAACCGATTTTGGCAACATGAACTATGAGGAATTGTTGTTTTGCAATATTTTCCATCGAAACAATACCTAACAGCATTGTCATTCATTTTTCTAATTTATTTTCAATTGAAAATTGAGTAACACTCAACGTGGGTTATTTTAGTTCTGAACAATTCAATTCATACGTTACTATAACTGTACAAATTCAAGAATTACTCAGAACTCTGTCTACAGTTCTGCAACTCATATTTATGGTGTATACAGCCGGAGCATACACACATTGTGCAGACGGTTATTTTCAACGCTGGTGTTGCTTGTATATCACGTTTGCAGAAGGTTCAGGACCGAGATTAGTTATTGTTTCCTTCGACATTATTGTTTGCCATCGACGTGGCTCGAACGAGCCCGTCATTTGGCTTATTAAACGATCGTAAGTCCCTGAGTGGTTCGATATTAGTTCCGTCATTCCGAGGCGATCGTTTGGTAAACATGACGCGTTATTAATTGTTCTCCTTCTGATAGAAAAGACGTATTGACTGTATCTTAATTGAAATCTTGTCAATTTTAATTTCATACGAATCTTTTCGCAATTACCAGACTCTGTTAATTTGAAAAAAGATATTTCGGATAAAAGTATTATAAAACGTGTTTTATTGATTGTTAATCGGATTAATAGATAATGCGTTCGAAAATAGACCGCGATTCTGGGATTTTATTATATTAATTAGGTCGTTTACACTGGTCGGTTTCATTATCTTTGTTCTAACAGAAACAAGCTCTGTATCTCATCGGAACACAATAACGAGCAATAATCGGGTTACAAATTTATTGCAAAATACCGAAAAGAGGTCGTTGCATAATTTTGACCGATGGAATCAGAATAATTTCAAACAATCTTTATTTTGCAGGGTTTTTTTTGAATTTAAAAACTCTCAAAAGTAAAAGGATTTTATCAGAAGTGATAAAATGCTTCTAAAAATGAAGATGCTTCTTTTTATATAGTAATGCAATTTCATCGAGATTTCATATTGAAAAAAGAACATTCAATTTCATCTAGATGGTAGGCAAATATTGGATGAACTTTGTCTGCGGAAATTCGGAATTCACTCGCCGATATTCATATTCCGGATATTTCGAAGGTTTAATTATAAAAGTGCAGGTGTGTCGATGATATATCGTGGCCAAGTCGAGATTTAGTTAAAAAATGAAAGAAGAACTAGGAAAATTAAGTGCGAGAATACTTCACGACGGTTTCAGTCGGGGGGAAAGTTGAACTGCTTCCAGGTAATTATCAACTCGTTAACATGGCCTGCGGCATATTCTTAATGAACTTTTACCTGGTCGTGCGCGATAATTGTAATTTACTTCCGAAATGTTGCTTCTTGCATCGGCGATGTTAAATTGAAAATAATTAAACCGGAAACTTGTGCTTTATTTCACTGAAATACAATTTGAAACTAATTATCAAAGGAAGTAACTATTTATTAAAAATTTTATTCTAAGTACTCATTTTATAAGTTATCTAACACTTTGTAAGTGACACTGTTTTATTTAATAAAAACTCTATTTAATAAAAGTAGAAAGTCTATTTATGCTTTTCCCTCAGTCCCAATTTCAGTTCCTTTAATCAGCTGATTTGTAATTCAGGTGGAAAAAATTAGATGGGTTATGGGTCATACGTGTCGCGTACGTGTCAACGTTTATAAATAAAGACATTTGACGATCTTCGGGATGCATGCCTTTAAGATTCACAACGTTTCTATGGCGACGGTATGATCTGTAGCTGCGCATGTCGGGTTCGACCGTAGCGTTCGGTTACGCCCTTGGAAATTAGTGGAATACGTCCATTTGGTCATTGTTTGTTCAGCCAGTATTCACGCCACGAAGACGAATCTCGATTGTTTGACACGCTGCTATGAGAGATCCTCTAATTACCTACCCTTCTTCGTTAATTTAAGAGGGGATGGTTAAAGGCATTCGTGTTTGCCTCGACAATTAACTCGATTCAATCGTCCTTTGATTAATAATTCGTGTACTAATTAGTGGAATGCAGCTACCAGTGGCTTATACAGTGTTCACGTTTATTTCCAGCTGTTAATTTAACACAGTTTTCTTTATTTCTTTTTTTACAAAAAATTGTTGTTTTCTCATGTATAGATGAGTTAAGTCCTACATTAAGTGGCATTTATTATTTTTTCTTTCTTAAACTATTTTAATTAAAAGTTTTTGTAATTTTACGAAAGATTACTCTCGTTTAAGAAATCTGTATTAATATTTAATTATAATAATTAGTGTGATTAAATGTCGTAAGAGCCACTGGTAGCTATCACTATGAATTCAATATGATTTATGCAAAGATTAAATTGAAAAATGGAACAATGGCATTTTAAATAATTGCAATTATGGTGTCCGACTATACACGGTCATTTCCACTTTCACATTCAACGCTGTTAATGCATACAGCTTAAATAGAGGGAGAAAACGAAACGCAAGTAGAATAGGTCCGCGTTTAGTCAGACACAGTTGTAATCAATATGACAGAAATCGTATACCCTTGTGGTTACTGATCCTTGAATTATCTCGAATGAAGATCATCAGATAAAAATAACTCGTTTCATATATAATCCCTTGAAAATGGTAGCAAATGAATGTGAAATATTTTATTCAATTTCAGAATAAAAATGTATATCTGTCACTTTGAAAGGGTTATTTTTCAAATGACTGTCTCGTTGTGGGGGGATTCAACGAGGGTAGGAAAATAAGTGTGCAGAACATGACATATTTAGATCAATTTTTTTTTTTGCTTCGAGCTGTTACAGGCAATCGCATGAAATATGATTCCCAGGGAAAATGCTATGAATAGTTTTGTCGCGGAAACGCAACGCCATGGAAACTTTAAATGATGGAGGACGTCGAATCCGGAATTTTGCGATCGGAGATTTATGCCTCGT